AGAAATGGCATTGCAGAGTGAAAATGAGCCTGAGACTGGAAGTCAGAAGATGTGAATTCCAATCCTAGTTCTGATAAATTCGAGTTGTGGGTATTGTGTAAGTCAGCCCCAATGACTGTTTCCTGATAAATCAAACAAGAATGACTAATCACAACTCCCCTGCTAACCTTCAAGCACTGTTGTGAGGAGGAAGTGACAAGGTAATGTATAAGGAAGTGTTTTGTAATAATGGCAAAGGGAAAGTCTCTGTTTATTCAGGTGGAAATAAAAAGCTCTTTGGTAAACTTAGAATTAAATTTTAATATGCAACTTGCCCTTCCATTCAACTAGGCATTTGTAATAATGTGCCTTTTTGTCACCAGCTTTTTATTTTTTGTTTTACATCCTTGTGAAGTAGGTCATTGCCATTATCCCCATTATGAATGCTGAAAACAAAGCATGGAAAGCTTAAACAATCCTAAAGGATGGTTTGTGGGATGATGCCTTATAGAGGGCATTCAGACTCAATGCACTGGTTTGTACTAGGAGGTTTATTTTTCCAAACCTTAAAGAAATTAAGGGGTGGCAAATGTGCCACCCCCTCGTTATATGGGTAGATTGTCTGTTTGTTTACAGGGAAGTGTGGATAGTGGGGTAAGAAAAAAAAAAAACATGACCTGCTGCCTTTACATTTGGAGTCCACCTCATCATTTTCTTGGATAACACATACTTTGCTGCCTATTTTAATCTCCTGGTACTGCTCTGCAACACCTGATGTGTTCATTGTGTTCTACATTTATATCATGTCCCTACACGATTTTATCCCCGTTCTAATTGAGATCCCCTTTGTCCAGGTCTCCATCTGGCAAACAACTGCTCATTTTCAACCCAATTTAATCATTACTTCTTCTGTGAAGCTTTTCCCAATTCCCTTAATCAAAAGCACAGGTACCATCAAGGGTGTCTAAGACACCCCATAAGCACAACTGTATTTGAGTTCTTATCACAATGCCATGTGATGTTTATTTACCCGACTGAGCTCTTCAGTAGCAGAGCCTTTGTCCTATTCATCTTGTATGTCCAACCCAGGCAACGTTGAGTGAACCAGTGTTTCATACACATTTGTAAATTATTGCTAATTCCTGAAAAAAAAAGCTGTAGGATTTACTGTGATATCTTGAAAACGCTGAAAATGAAATATTTAAAGAATAATCTACCAATTCATTTTCAGAGCCTGAGGGATGTTGATTTCATTTTAGCACCAGGAACTTTGAGGCAGAAGCTGTTAAATGAAAAGAAAAGATTGATATCACAATGTGAGAATATTTCAATATTGAATAGACTGCTTTCACCAGTGACAGTAGTTCTCTCTTAGAGCCTTGATGTCACACTGTATTAAATTGAGGCATCTTATTGATTCTTCAGTTTAATTTTTCTGTAAATATATGTGGTTTCGTGACTAGTCTCTATCCCAGAGTTACCATGGCTACTGATAAGTTTTCATCTTCTTTGCAACCGTTTTAACAGTTTTTCTTAAGAACCAATTGTTTTCCTTACAACAGAAGACTATCTTCCAAAATAGACCCTGCACATATCTATGATGACAGATCAGTGGGTAAACTCTGGCAGCAAGTAGTGTTTTTTCTCACCCCAACATCCACACTCCCCTATAAACAAACAATCCACCTACAGAGCGAGGGGGCACATTTTCTTAATTTCTAAAATGTACCAAGTGTTTTTCCACCCTTTTCAAAGTCACTATTCTAGAAAAATCTCTAATGGGATTTTAAATGCTTATTTTACTATATTTAGCCTAGGATATCAGCACTTTTCTTCCATAAAGTATTTAAGCTTTGATCAAGACTCCCACAGTGAACATTGTGTATGCATGTGGTTCTCTTTGTGGCTTTTATTGCTTAAAATGTAGAAATGTTAGTTTTAAATGTTGCATACATGAAAGTCAGTGTCTATTCTTGGAGGGATATGGGCTAAAAAAAAAAGGTATCTCTGTGGGACCCCTCAAAACTGTTGATCCGGTATTTTCCTTTTAGGGCTTTCCTCAAACACATATAACATATGTAAGCTGATCTAGAGCAAATATTTCCGGTAAATTATTACCTTAAAAAAAACTGTACTACTTGGACCAGGACCAAGTAGGACAGCCATTCGTCAATATCAAGACAGGCAAACAGCTAAATATCAATCCCTTATCTATTTTCTCCATTTCTCTTTAACTTAAAATGATATTTTTAGCAGTTCCTGATAACTGAAATCTTGAAATTCATTTTTTAAGACCAGTAGTAAAGGGCAGTTAATAAAAAGGACAGCTTGTCTGTTGCCAAAGTTCAATTTCTCTTTCTACAGGGCAAGATTGTGTCCAATATTAGATCAAGAGTTGCACAAACTGAATAGTTAAGCATTTACGAAATGTTATAAGTAGTTTTATTCCAAATGTGTGTTCATATTTTACCATCTGTAGAAAAGAAAAATGTAAACTCAACCAACATTTCATAATGATTGCTCTAATATGGTAGCATTTGGGATGTTTGTAAATATCACAGAAACGGATAGAAGAGCCAGAATTCATGTTCAGAAATTCGTCAATCATGCCTGTGGGCTCCAGATTTGTCACTCTACAGCAAAGGCACTACGGAGAACAAATTTCTCAAAGATGTTTAATGAAATGAAGTATGCCTGCATCTTATTTACTGCCTTCTGTGGGACACTGTGTGGAAATGTAATAATAACAAACTCAATGAGTTTATTATTTTAGCAGGCAATGAGAGCTCTTTTGCTAGTTGTGCTATAGTGCCTTAATATGTGTTTGCACACACAAGTATAAGCTTAATGAAGTTTGGCAGAATGAGTTGCAATTTCCTATTTTAAAAAGAGTTGAATAGAATTTACTTAAAAATTGTACATTTTATATGTACAGGAAGTTTTACAGAATATTGTCAGTAGTGTACCCCCCCATCCACTTTTCCCATTATTACTGGAAATACATTGAATTCTAGAGAAGAACTCTTACCTCTTAGTGAATCTCCTCTAAAACACTTATCTGACCTATTTGTTTAGTGACACGCAGGACTGAGGTTTCCTAGGCTATCTCAAGCCACAGACACATTCACAGCACTCACACGCAAATACCTAAAAAACGATGCGCTCTTTCTGAATTCCTCCCCACAAGTACACTACACTGAAGGCTTTGTTATCTCTAACTATGGGACTGCTGCCTCCTGCAGGGGTCTAGTCAATGAGCAGCGGGTCAGAGGGACCATCCACTCTAATTTCTGTTCCCCAGAATCCTTTGGGCTACACTACTTTTCCCTCCACGGTTCTACACCAATAAACCTGCCCCTGTCGCTAGAAATGGGTAGAGGCAAATTCAATGGATTTCACTATAAAAGCCTATGTTTTCTATGGAGTGTCCTTTTCCTGACTAGAGAATCCTTTTCAATTCCTATTGGGTTTTCTTTTTTCCAGTGACTCTGCTCTCTCAGGTCAGTTTTCCTGTCTAGCCTCACTTTCTGTTGTAGACTGACCCACTTGTCAGGCTCCTCCTCCTGAAATTATTCCCTTTGCTCCATCCTCATGCTTGGACTTAAGAATGAAAAAATGAATTAGGGAGATTGTCTTGGTTTCTCTTATCAGACTTTCCAGATTGAGAATAACTGTTTGTTGGGCACCTCTTCCTGAACAATTTTTTTCCACGCCAACCATGTTTAGTGACACATAGTAAGTGGTCTGTGACCTCAGTGCCTGTCAGCAGCCCTGGTTCATAATAGGCACTCAGAAATACAGGATTGCTGAGCAGAGTAGGCTTCCAATTCCAACTATACCACCTATGTAGTGCTCAGTTTTGGGCCAACCTCCCAGATAGGTCTGCACCTCACTTTGCTTATCTGTAAAATGGAGTTAATAATCTTAATGGTAAAAGAATGGTGCCTATCACATAACGGCATTAGAAAGTCATCGTTTCCATTGCCTCTTATTTTGAGTAAATCAGTGAAAGCAGGAACAAATAAGAGATGTTATCTGAACTTCTTGTGCTCTCAGCCAAGCTCTTGTGAAGCTCCTTGGCTTCTCGACAGAGGGATCAGTTAGCTAATTCGGGAGCTCAAATTTTCTCAACCCACGGAATTACCCTCCCTACCCTGCTTGCTAGTATCTCCCATAACCTTCCCTGTTATGTCTAGTCTATGCCTAGAATTTTGGGTGTTCCACTGTAAAGCACTGCTCAGCTACCGTTTATCTGAATTGGACAATTTTTATAATTATTCTTGTTCTGAGCTACTAAAACCTTCAGCATTATCCTCTGTCCTCTATGATGCTGTAGAATTCCCAAACCTATGCCGCATAGACACAGACCCCTCCCAACCAATGTTCACATGCTCTAAACGCTCAGTTACTGGTCTGTCCCTTTCAAGACATCAGAGATTGATTTACTAGGGTGAATGGGCAAAAACAAAGTCAAGTATAAATCCAGCTTGATTTTAGCAATTGAAGGAATTATATTATTGGTAACAATAGCTTGGTCTGCAGGGAAAGATGATGTAAATTTAACAAAATCTGTATTAGATTCTGACACATTTTATCTTAGCTCTCAATGGGGGAAAAATAATGGAAAACAGACTATGAATAGAATTAACCAAAAATCAAAATGACTTTTTGTTTAAAGAGTAAGGTAATTATTTATATGTATTTCAAATATTAAAGCATTAATCATGTATCTCAGAAATACTAAATAATTCAGATTATGTAAGGATGAAGTCAGAATATTTAACAATATCCACTTTTGAGAGTTTGATTTACTTCATAATTTTATTTAAAAATTATTCTCCTCCCGTTAGTTGACAGGGACTTACCCATCATTTAAAAATGGCATTGCTCTTTTTATACTTTAAATATTCTCACATTGTTGAATATAAGATCTCCTGTGAAATGTTTCTCCAGAAACATTTATTCTTTTCTTCAACTGATGAATTTTCCTTGACAAAATTAAATGTTCTGCTACATTACAGCCTCACTGTTAGGAATGAAGAAAGAGGGGAAAATGCGGGAAGACCCATACACACTGCAAAAATGGAGAGTATCCAGGTCCTAGAGGAATGGTGAGTGTGAGAACCACATAGCTATTGTTTCTTATATTTATATGCCATTTACATCTACTGCATGCCTAAGTATTACCTCTTGCTTCATGGTACTCTTTAAAATGATTTTGGGAAGTGAATGCAAATTCCATCTAGAAGATCTTATTTTGTCATTGCAGTTGCTTTTCAGCAATTTTTCTATTAGCAATGTGAAGTTATTGGCTAAAACATGGTCTAAATTTACTTTTCCCTTTAAAAAAATAAAGATTATCATGTCCTGTACAAAAAAAAAAATTGCCCTAATTCATTACTTCTCATTTCTGAAAATTTAAAACATGGAACATCCAAGTCAGTAAGGAAGGGCACCCAGCCGACTCCTGGTTCCATTTCCACCAGAGCAGATTCTCCCAGGTGTTTCCTCCCAAATGAGAGGTACCTATGGACTAAAATCAAAATACGAATAGACCAGTCATATAATTATAAGTTCTTTCTTTTTCAGCTTTTTATGAGAAGGTTTTAATAATGATGTTTCATGGTAATTGTTAAGCTTTTTAAAATTAAAAAAAATTAATTGAATGAGGAAGTGCATACATTATGCAATAGTAACAATCTATTTGAAACACCTGGTCAAAAAGGTAAAATATATATTATATATATAATATTTTATATATATATATATATATATATATATATATATATATATATATATATATATATGTATATATATATATATATATTTGTACTTCTTTGGCCAAATGGCTTTTAGGTTGGAAAACTATTAAATAGATCATTGAATAGGAAAGGAAGATCAGAATCATTTTAACCATAAGACTCTCCAAGCTTCTCTCTTCTACTTCTTTAATGTATAAGCAAGTGGATTAATTACTGGAGGTTTTAGCAGTCACATAGTCATTAAAAAAATCTGTATATAGTTTTAAATTCACAATGTCAATGTCATTATAGAAGACTTCTGCTTCCAACTGTGATAACTCCATTCATGACTAACAATTTGTACATAATTTTTCATTTAAAAAAAAATCTTTTTTTTTTTTTTTTAGAGACAGGATCTCACTTTGTTGCCTAGCCAGGAGTGCAGTGGCATGATCATAGCTCACTGTAACCTCAAGGTCCTGGCTCAAGTGATTCTCCTGCCTCAACTCCCAAGTAGCTGGGACTACAGGCACATACCACCACACCCAACTAATTTTTAAACTTTTTTCCAGAGACAGAGTCTTGCTGTGTTTCCTGGCTAGCCACAAATTCCTGGCCTCAAGAGATCCTCCCACCTCAGCCTTCCAAAGCATTGGGATTATAAGCATGAACCACCATGCCCAGCAGAAAAATTATTAAAGTTTAGGAAAATATATGACAAGTGCACACAGCATATTGTTACTTTAAACCAAGTGACAAATGAAAAGGCCACCAGAGATGAGGGAAAAAAAAAAAAAAAAAAAAACCATCTTATGGCTGGAAAACTGAAATCCTGATTAGAGGCAAAGAAAAACATTCAGTTTGTCCTAAGTCACTTACAGACTGTTATTGTCAACTTGCAACATATTGTTAAAGGTTGAACATTTCCCAGCTTCATTAGGAATGTATGACGATTACATGCATATTATGTTGCTATTTGAATGCTTGGCTCCCTACATGCCTCTTATGCCTGCATGAATTTTTGTCAAAACCCAGAAATAACTGACCTAGTCCTAGCAGGTCTTGCCAGATCAGGCTGGACTAAGTGACAAAATACTGACCACTAGATGGCAGAAAATTGACAGAATATCTTTTTTTTTTTTTTTTTTTTTGAGCTGGAGTCTCCCTCTGTTGCCAGGCTGGAATGCAGTGGTGCGATCTTGACTCACTGCAACCTCTGCCTCCCAGGTTAAAGCGATTCTCCTGCCTCAGCCTCCCAAGTAGCTGGGAGTACAGGCATACGCCACCACGCCCAGCTAATTTTTGTATTTTGAGTAGAGATGGGGTCTCACCACGTTGGCCAGGATGATCTTGATTTCCTGACCTTGGGATCCGCCTGCCTCTGCCTCCCATAGTGCTGGGATTACAGACATAAGCCACCACGCGGGGCCTGATAAAGAATGTCTGTCTGCTTCTCTCCTTATCTGGTCTAGCATTCACCAAAGTTCCCTTTGATCAAGGCCCCATTCTGTCTTTGCAGCCAAAACCCCACTGCGGAGGAAGTCTTGTCCTGGTCTCAAAATTTTGACAAGATGATGAAGGCCCCAGCAGGAAGAAACCTTTTCAGAGAGTTCCTCCGAACAGAATACAGTGAAGAGAACCTACTTTTCTGGCTTGCCTGTGAAGACTTAAAGAAAGAGCAGAACAAAAAAGTAATCGAAGAAAAGGCTAGAATGATATATGAAGATTACATTTCTATACTATCACCAAAAGAGGTAAAAATCTGAAAAACATTGAGGTGGGCTTTCTAGGACCAAGGCTAACCCTCAAGGGATGACTGTCCAGATTGGGTAGGGAATGGGATGTGGAGTGAGCAGGTAGAAGAACTCACTGGGTAGAGAATTCAGCTGCCATTGGAAGAATCTCCCTGGACACATGTTTGAAGGCTAGGGTTCCCCTCTACGCTTTGACTGTTTAGCTCACTTGTGTGGTAGTCCACTTGCTTTTCAGAACTAACACTAAAGAGCCTGCTTAAACACAATTTGCTGTGACAAATGAAAATGGAAAGAGAGAATTTATTTTAGGGTGGTTTTTCCCAAAGCATAACCCCTTGATCATGTGAATGAGAATCACCTGGAGCATTTGTTTAAAAAACAAATTCTTAAGGCCTAACCAGGACTTCTAAGTCTGAATTTATGGAAATAGGGCCCAGAAATCTGCACTTTTAACAAGTTTTCCACATACGTACTAGTTGTCAAACCTCTAGTATAGGGACTCCAAAAAAATCTGACGTTTTGTTGATGTTTATGATTGAATTTTTACAGAAATGAAAACTGAGCCTTGATGACCACTAATATTCTTAGGTGGGAAATGGAAATTATTTTACTTTATTCTAGATTTTCTCTTATTGAAAGTGCAAGCTTCTTACCCATTGCCAGAATGTACCTAATCAATAAGCAATTACTTCTAGAAACCAAATAGCACTTTTCCATTGACTTTTTAAAACTTAATTTGTTCTTGAGAAATGTTTCAGTTAATAGAGTTAAACGCATTTGGTGAAGGAGTGGTTAATAGTGTGACCAGGCCCTTGGAGCCCTGAGTGATGGAGCTCCAGAAGCCTTCAAAGCACTTAGAGAACACAGAGGTTCCTAGAATGTCTTCTCTTTTCCATCCCACCCTCTTTTTGTCTTTTTTGTTTCTCCCAAATGACTGATTTTTACCTTTGCATTTAAATGGCTTGCCCGTCCCTAGTACACCTGAACATTTATGGGCTGTAGTCATATGTGCCTCCTCTAATACTTGGCGTGGTCCCAGGCGGCCTTACACTCCTTGCTTTGAGATCTGTCAAAGGAATTAGTGTCTATTTTATTAATCTCTAAGTTTGGAATGCTACATAAAGTATTTCACTTCTAATAATATATGTAGTACCTAAATTATTTAGATTTTTTTATTAGTTAGGTTAAAGTGCCACTGGTATTCCAGAGTGCCTGAGGACTACTGTCTGTACAAAATGAGAAAGCTTCTAGAATTAGATGCACAAAAGATTGATTTACTTTTTTATTTCCTGCATGAACGTGAAAAATGTATTCATCAAAACCAGGTGGAGAAAATTTAATAAATGTAATACAATGTGACATCAGTAACAAATGTGTAGCCTCAACACATTTGTTACTGATGTCACACTGTATTTCTAACACCAGCATAATTCTGCATCCTAAAACTACATTATTCAGTATGTAGTTGAATTTTAGCATCTAAACAACTCAGATTTTATCAATATAATAATTTTATGCTAATTTTTATTATTTTAAAGTTATTCCATATGGCAAATAAACCAGATGATCCAAATGTCCCCAACTATGTGCTGCTTTTGCCTATAATTATACAAAATGAGAGTCCTTGGGAAGATTAGCCTATTTCTGCCCCCAAAGTATGTAAGATGTGACATCTTAAAGTGATAGTTGTCTAGATTACTTAGTCCATTCCTTTGTGCTATATTTGTATCATCTTAAAATGATGACTCTTCCGTTCTTTTTCAGTGTTAGGAGAAAAAATAGTCTCAATACTATGTACATGTAATTCCCTTATGTTTACAGTTTCTGTTATTTAATGTTTAGCTTTTTATGTGAAACATTTTCTTATTATCCACACAGCCCCTGATTTTCTGATGTCAGTGATTGATGGCATTATGTAAAATACTTAATTTTTTCTCTTTAAGCCATGTTTAGAGTTACAATAGTGATTATTTAAATATCAACCAGTGGGTTTTCATTCTTTTTGCTAAAGTAATGGAGATTTGTTTCCATCTGATTTTTTTTTTTTTTTTTTGAGGTGGAGTCTCACTGTGTCACCCAGGCTGGAATGCAGTGGTGCCATCTCAGTTCATTGCAACCTCCACCTCCTGGGTTCAAGCAATTCTCCTGCCTCAGCCTTCCAAGAAGCTGGCATTACAGGCACTTCCAACACACCTGGTTAATTCTTAAATTTTTAGTGGTGACAGGGTTTCAACATGTTGGCCAGACTGGTCTCGAACTCCTGACCTCAAGTGACCTGCCTGCCTTGGCCTCCCAAAGTGTTCGGATTACAGGTGTGAGCCACTGCACCCCGCCATTTTCATCTACTTTCTTTATTTTGAACACAACTTTCACCATAGTCACTAAAATCTCATTTCCTGATCAAGAATATGAACTTTTCAGAATTACATATGCTAATATTTAGTCTTGTAACCATATTTATTCTCTCCTTTATGTTTCCTAATACCCATATTTTGGCCATCGCTCGTTCTTTAATATCCTCAAAATATCATAGAGAGGAAGAGACAGAGAGGTGAAATTCAAATTGTTACCCTTTTGCTGAATTGTAATTAACTCTTGATAGAGAATCTAAATTAATAGACCACTGAAGTGCCATTGTTTAGCCAGCTTATTTCTATGCATCAACATAGTAATTAAATTGGATTATTATTTAACGGAAAAAACAAATAACCAAAAGTAGATATTTTCAGTTACAAAAGATAATTGTTAAAAAGCTTTGTTTTAAACCGTATCATGTTCATTGACTGAACTCACTGATACACTCACCGTGTGGCATGCACTTTCCAGCTATTCCGGAGCCCCTTTTATCTGTTATACCTCACTGAACTTCCTATACAAAAGTCATCCATTTCTAATCAGCCACAATACATTACTAACTTATGACACTGTGTTATGACTCTTCAAATTTTGTTTTCTAACATTGGAGACAGCACATGTCAGATCAAGAGAGACCTGATTATAGAGGAGTTAGAGCACTGGACTACTATTCAGGTGCACGGGATTTTAAGCCTGCCTTTGCCACAACCCAGTTGTGTGGCCTGTAATAAATCACTTCACTTCTCTGAGTCTTAACATTGAGTTCATTTGTTTACAAAAATAACAATACAAATAAGCACAGAAACTAACAAACCAAATGCATAATGGCAACTGTAAGGCTATAAAGCTACTGAAAAGATGTGTCAGGCCATTCTGGCCTTTCTCCCTCTGAAATTCTATATATGTTTCTTCTTATTCAGAGTATTTGTGCTACTACTTCATCCTCTCCACCTAATGGCATAGCTTATCCATCATGGTCCTCCTTACTACTGTCCCCACAGTGAACCTCAGAATCTATTTAAACATAGTACTCAAAGCAGTTAATATATGAGTTCCTATTTCTCATTTTGGGGCTGAACAATCTGGGCTTTCTACCTCTAAAATTCTATATAAGTTTCTACTTATTCAGAATATTTTTAAAGAACACAAACATTTGAATCATTATAAAATGGTAATGACTAAAAGTTGTCATGATTTTATTATTGAACAGAAGGGCATTTTTCTTCACTAGACTTTTATTTTACCTTAATTTGATTGAATGTGGTGTTCTTTTTTGTTAAATGTAGGAAAAAACCATTTAAAAAATTATGTATAGATAACTTTTTTCCTTAATGAAACTATTGAAGTCAATGTGCAAAAAATTACATTTCATTATTTTAAGAGCATGTTTTATGCATTTGTAATAATTTGAGCATTATAAAATATTTGCAATTAGGAGTTGATATAACTTCTGTTCATGGAATAGTGTACATTTTATGAAGGAAAAGGCCAAATTTAAAAAGAAAATCTAGACATTTAAACAAGAAATACCCTTTGTTTAAAAAGTAAACTTTTAAGAAATGATCTCTTCAAGGGGAAAACAAATGAAGACAATAAAGAGGCCTTGAAGCCTAATATAGACTTGCTACACGTAGCAGATTTTGGTGGCAGCTTATATTTATTATTGAAAAGATGTGTTAGGCCAATCTTGCATTGCTATAAAGAAATACCTGAAACTGGGTGATTTATAAAGAAAAGAGGTTGAATTGGCTCACAGTTCTGCAGGCTTCACAGGAAGCATGGTGCTGGCATTAGCTCAGCTTCTTGGGAGGACTAAGGAAGCTTATAATCATGGCAGAAGATGAAGCGGGAGCAAGCACGTCACATATCTAAAGCAGGAGCAAGGGGCGGGGAGGTCCCACTCACCTTTAAATAACCAGATCTCACAAGAGTTCACTCACTATCACAAGGACAACACCGAGAAGATGGTGCTAAACCATTCATGAGAAATCTGCCTTTATGAACCAGTCATTCCCAACAGACCCCATCTCCAACACTGGGGATTACATTACAACATGCAGTTAGGTTGGGAACAAACATCCAAACTATATCAAAAGACAAACCTAGCAAAATAAAGAACCTGAATAAAAAATATATTTAAAGGTTATCAACTGTAAACTGCACTGAGCTACTGAAGAAATAATTATAAATCCTTCAACAAATATAAGACATTTATCTGAATTGAAGAAAACTATGGTCCAGTGATGTAGAAATCTGCCTAGTGATGACATTGTCACTACCAGGACTATAAACTGGATCTGTCACTTACATCTGTGGGCCACTTAGAAACGCACTTCAGTGCTCTGGAATCTCCACGTCCTAGGGTTATGAATGAAGGCGTGGAGAAAGCTTAAAAACCCACCAAATCTATGATGTTCAAGCTCTGGAGAATGGTAATTTTAATAGTAGTAGAAGTTTGCTTTTTCTGATTTTTTTAAATTCCCAGTTACTATCTGAGAGAAAAAAGTAATAGACCTATTTAAACACCAGAATTATCTAAAAAATAATGCTTATGTGATAGACATGCAGATTCTGTGTGTGCATGTAGATGTATCTTCAAGTGAAAGTATGTGAATTTAGCACATTCAAAGATTTAAGACAGTTTTTCTAAACAGAACTCACTTCACTGTATTTTCCTAAATGTATTTCTTTACACATGCATATTATCATTGAAAAAATATTAATTGACTATTTCCTATGAGCCAAGCACTGGGCTAGATGTTGGGGATATGATGATAAACAAGAGACACAAATTAATCCCTTAATGGAGTTTACATTTTAGGAAGACAAACCTTGTTGAAACAAGTAACTGAAAATTGTGTTAGGGTGGATATTGAATTAGATGGAATACAGGTAGTCAGGTAAGGTCACTCCCAGAAGGTAAAATTCAAGTTGGTGCAAAAGCCAAACACATTGGGTTTGTTCAAGTTGATGTCATAATTATGATCAATTATTATTAATTACTTTACATTGGCCTCATTATTGGCACAGTGGTCTTGCATATATTATTACAATCTTACTCTCACAACAATCTTTCAGCCACAACAGTTGCTACCACTTTACAGCAAAAGAAACTAAATTTGTTTTCTTTTTTTGAGACAGTCTTGCTCTTGTTGCCCAGGCTGGAGTGCAGTGGCGCGATCTCGACTCACTGCAACCTCCAACTCCCTGGTTCAAGCAATTTTCCTGCCTCAGCCTCCTGAGTATCTGGGATTACAGGCATGTGCCACCACACCAGCTAACTTTTGTATTTTTAGTAGAGACAGGGTTTCACCATGTTGGTCAAAATGGCCTCGATCTCCTGACCTTGTGATCTGCCCAGAAACTAACTCTTAAAGAGGTAAAATTAATGTTTGAGGACATTAGAAATATATCTGGTAGAGATAGAATGCAAGCCCAAGATCTTCTGATTCCAAATAAGGTGCTCTTCCAACTACAACGTGATGATTAGTTCTTCCATTGCCTAATATTTTCTTCGTGAAGTTACCATAGATCCCCAACCATAGAACTTCACACATGATGAGAAATAGCAACCTTAACCACAGGCCTGAACCCTGCCCTAGACCAGCAGGATCTACTTTCCTATCATCTGGACACCACCAAGAATGTGACATTACAGTTTACCCTACCAATAATCTTTGTCCTAAGAGATAAATTCAAACAATTGGTCTATTTGCAATGTGTTAATTATTTTCAGTAGAAATAACAGCACAAAATAATATGTGACTAAATGTATACAAAGTAAAAATTTATTAAAATTGATGAGAATCATACATTCTTTAGATTTATAAAATTTAACATAGGAATACCAAATTTAGTTCAAATTAAAAGCAGAAAAGAAAATTTCCAGTGGCAGATGTTATAATTGGTAAAATTTGATATGGACTTATAAAGGGAAAAAATTATTCCGAATTTTACTTGGAAAGAAATTCTAAATAAAGAAACTTCACTAACACTAAAAATAAGATGGGGGAAATGGAGAAAACACTTGGATGTGATACATGAAAAACATTGTTCAGGGAATTAAACAACATAAAGGAGGATTCTGTACGGTGAAAAAGACTTTCAGTGAAAATTCATTATTTTTTGTATCATTATGCCAAAAATGTCCGTAGGATCAAATTTTCCCTTCCACCTCGATGACTAAAATAAAAAGGTGGGGCAAAGTTGGTCTACTCCCTTTCAGCAATGCTAAACAACCTTCGTATCCTCTTCAATGAATAGGAAATCGAGTAAGATTAACTAGGGTATATGACTCGGTTTAGCCCAGATTTTCCCAAGCCACGCTAACAGAATTTCTCTATCTTCATTCTCCTCGCTTTTCCTCCATACCCTTGTTGAACACTTCGTTCTCATTACTTTTTGCTTGCAAGTCCCTTGCTTTTCTTCTTCCCTGTCTCCTACTCCCTGTGGGAATGAATGCTTCCAACTTCACCCAGACCTATTGCTAAGTCACGTGTCTTTTTATAACTTCAGTTGCTATGTCTCAACATTGCCGGACTTTTCAGCACTGCTATGCCGGTTAAATGCTGCCAAACCCATCATGCTGTCTTGTGTCCTGTCTCACAATAGTGGTGCTACTGTGCTATAGTGCTATGAATTCTGTTATTACTGTAATGTGCTCTTCTCTTTATACCACCTAGGTATGAGTCTATGTAGCCTGAGTTAGAGGAGACTTGCATTGCCCGAGAATAGCTATTGTCTTGTCCTACTCAACTTTCTTTTCCCTTAGGATGAGTTCTATACAGGAAATGCCTCAGTCCCTCATGCAATGGAGCCCAGATAAGATGGCTTTATAAGCCATCCAGACACATCTGAATCCTAGGGTGACTGTCGCCCAGGCCCAACTGGGATCCACCACCAATACCTTGTATTATAGATGATCCACATTCTGAAGCACAAAGATACCACAAGATGAAACAATAGATTGTTATACCAATGGGGTTTATCCTTATTATTTGACCTCGCTACACTTCTTTTGACTGATCGACAGCTTTTTCAGACAAACAACCTGATATTAAGGTAAATATTTTATTCTTTAAATAGAAATAACATGCATCTTTGTTAAAGATTACTAAATCTTGAACTGTATGACTTTACAATATTTCACTACTATTTTTAGCTTGCAAAAAATTAAAAATTAAACAGAGGACATAAGACATTTAATAGTTTGTTATTTTATCTGTCTTCAGATAATATGATTCTATCCACTGAGAAGAAACTTTTACACTACATTTAATGATACTATTATTTAAGAAGTAAATGACCCTCTTTTCTTAATCACTAATGTAAGGTTTCCTGCTCCATTGAAACCAAAAGTTCTCTCAAGTTTGAAAGGAAGCACCATTTCTAAAAACAGAGGAGCGTGTTTAAGAATTTACCTTACCATAACATGATGTTTCAGAATAAGATAAATCAGTTTAAACTTCAGTGTCAACATTTCCCTCTGGCATAAAAACACAAAAATATATTTTTAGATAAAATAAAAACCTTGGGGAAAAATATTCTGTACTTTTAAAAATTACTCTGTACTTGATAGTGACCTGATGTGGTAATAACAAAAAATGAAAACTGAACAATTCATTTCCAGAACATTTTAATTTTTATAGAATTCCCAACAGAGACAAATGTGTAGTTCAGCCAAGTCATGTTTTCAGGCTTGTTTCAGCAATACTGCAGGTTCAGATAATTGCAATAAGGCAATCACAATAAAGCAAATTGCACAAATATTTTGGATTCCCAATGCATATAAAAGATACGCTTATACTATACTGTAGTCATAGTATAAACAATACTTAGCAATAGCATAGCAACAGCAGATGTCTTAAAAATGTGCATACCTTAATTTTAAAATACCTTATTGGTAGAAACTGCTAACAATCATCTGAGCCTTTAGAGAGGCATAATCTTTTTGCTGGTGGAGGGAGGGTTTCGCTTTGACATTGATGGCTGCTGACTCATCAGGGTGGTAGTTGCTGAAGGTTGGGGTGGCTGTGGCAATTTATTCACATAAGACAATAATGAATTTTGCCACACCGATTGACTTTTCATAAAAGAGTTCTCTGTAGCATGTAATGCTGTTTGGTAGCATTTTATCCAAAATAGAACTACTTTCAAAATAAGAGTCAATCCTCTCAAACCCTGCTGCTGCTTTATCAACTAAGTTTATGTAATCTAAATCCTTTATTGTCATTTCAACAATGTTCGCAGCATCTCCACCAGAAATAGATTTCATCTCAAGAAATCGTCTTCTTTGCTCATCCATAGGAAGCAAGTCCCGATTCTTTAAAGAAGTCGCCAGGCTCCACTTCTAGTTCTATTACTATTTCCGCCACATCTGCAGTCAGTTCCTCCAGTGAAGTCTTGAACTCCTCAAAATCATCCAGGAGAGTTGGAATCAACTTTTCCTAAATTCCTGTTGATATTTTGACCTACTTCGATGAATCACAAATGTACTTAATGAAAACAATGGTGAATTATTTCCAGAAGGTTTTTTATTTGCTTTGCCTAGATCCATCAAAGGAATCACTATCCATGGCAGCAGTAGTCTTATGAAATGGATTTCTTAAATAATATTGTAAATTGAAATTATTTCTTGATCCATGGGCTGCAGAATGGATGTTGTGTTAGCAGGCATGAAAACAATACTAATTTCCTCGTACCTCTTCATCAAAGCTCTTGGATGATTGTCAATGAGCATTGTCAGGAGCATTGTCAAAGAGCAGTAAAACTTGAAAAGGAATCTTTTTTTATTGGAGCAGTAGGGCTTGACAGTGGGCTTAAAATATCCAGTAAGCCATGCTTTAAACAGATGTGCTGTCATCTAGGCTTTGTTGTTCTGTAGCAGGAGCGGCCACGAGAAACAGAGCTCCTGAACACCGAATGGAGAAGGAAGAGGTCTTTATTACAGCCGGGAGCTGAGGGATAATTTGTCCAAATTCAGCTCATCTAACAAAGGAAGGTTCTGCCTTTATATAGGCTTATACTTTATATATTACATGTGGAAGAATCTTAGGTTTACAGCCTTAGAAATCACATATGAAAAGGGATTCGGTTTACAGCTTCAGGAATCACATATGAAAGGGTTTCGGTTTACAGCTTCAGGAATCATATATGAAAGGGTTTCGGTTTACAGCTTCAGGAATCACATATGAAAGGGTTTCGGTTTATTGTTTTAGGGCTCACATGTGAAAAGGTTTCGGGTTTGATCTTGTTTTAAGTAAAAACAGTGTCTTCCAGCGTTTCCCCAAGACCAAGCCTGCCACCTACAGGAAGGTGAATCAGGAGGCGCCAGTCGATCAGCCTTTTCTTCTATTGCAATGCAGTGTGGCAGTCAAAAGGGAAGTTGATCCCAGACGCCTGGGTCTCCTTCCTCAGTTCCACTTATAGTTCCCAGGCAGAGTAGATTTCGCATAATTCTTAAGGGCCCCAGGATTTTCAGAATGGTAAATAAGCATTCATTTCCATTGAAAGTTACCAGCTATATTAGTCCTTCACAACAGAGTGAGCCTGTCCTTGAATCTTTGAAATCAGGCATTGACCTCTCTCTAGCTTTGAAAGTCCTAGATAGCATCTTCTTCCAATATAAGGCTGTCTATATTGAAAACCTGTTGTTTAGTGTAGCCACCTCCATCAATTATCTTAGCTAGATCTTCTGAATAAATTACTTCAGCTTCTACATCAGCCATTTCCTGCTTCACCTTGAGCTTTTGTGTTATGGAGATGACTTCTTTCCCTAAACCTCATGAACCATCCTCTGCGAGCTTCAAACTTTTCTTACACAGCTTCCTTACCTCTCTCAGTCTTCACAGAATTGAAGAGAGTTAGGACTTTGCTCTGGATTAGGCTTTGGTTTAAGGGAATGTTTGATCTTCTGTCCAGACCACTCAGACTTTTTACGTTTCAGCAACAGGCTGTTTTGTTTTCTTATTCACGTGTTCACTGGAGTAGCACTTTTAATTTTGAGAACATTTCCTTTGCATTCACAACTTGGCTAACTTTCAAAAGAGGCGTAGTTTTTGGCTAGTCTCAGCTTTTGACATGCCTTTCTCACTAAGTTTAACTAACCATTTCTGGCTTTTTTAATGAGAGAGATGTGTGAATCTTCCTTTCACTTAAACACTTAGAGGCCACTGGCAGGTTATTAATTGGCCTAATTTCAATACTGTTGTCTCTTGGGAAATAGGGAGGTCTGAGGAGAGGGAGAAAGATGTGGGGATGGCAGGTCAGTGGAACAGTCAGTATACACACCATAATCATCATTAAGAATTGATTAAGTCTTATACAGGCATGGTTCATGGCCTCCTAAAACAATTACAAGAGTAACATCAAAGATCACTGATCACAGATCACCTTTAAATATATAATAATGATGAAAATTTTGAAATATTGTGAGTACTAATAAATGTGACACAGAGACACAAAGTAAGCACATGCTATTGGAAAAATGGTGCCAGTCAACTTGCTTGACAAGGATCATCACAAGCCTTCAATTTGTAACAAACGCAGGATCTGTGAAAAACAGTAAAGGGAAGTGCAGTAAAATGAGGTGTCCCTGTATCAGTTGGTTTGGCTAAGCCACAGAAATGTAGTCTGGATTACCATCTAACAAATCTAGTAGCCATCACTGGGTGTAGCAATCAACCCAATTCGGTCTGTAGAGCTCAGGAATTTGGGGACACTGGATGGAATATGAGGAGCTTCAATAAGAGACTGAATTAGTTCTCAGACTTAGTCCAAACAGTGATGGGAAAAGAAGCCAGAACTAAAAGGCATTTGCAGAATGCTTATGACAACATGTTTAAATATAAATATGGAAGGTTTGTATCTGAATATATCATGAAATAACACTATGGATCACAGGTCCTATTCCTTGCTAAATAGTGAGGATTGAGGAAAACAATCTGGACTCTGAGTGGTCGTTTGCCACTTTGGGGTTTGTTCTAATATGGTATTTCAGGGCAGGGCTTTAGTTCTGTTCCTACAACCATGCCCTTACTGCCAAGTATTTTTCCCCATTTCCCTTTCCAACACGTTTTACCAGTTCCAAGAGGATTTGCATTTAGTGAGGAAGGGGAAACATCCTAAATCGCTGCAGAACTTAATTTCTGTACACTTTTCAAATAACACTGTATTGATTTTAATGGTTATTCGGCATTCCTATTTCTGTTTCTCCTCTCAAAGATTTCACTCCAAGCAATTGATCTGCCTCATCATTAGTAGAGGTGTTTGGATGTATAAGGATGTTTGCTAGTCCCTGCCAGGTAGACGTTAAGACATGAAGCATACCTGCTCACTGCATGCCCTGCCACACTCTTGGTTTCCTACTTTTGACACAGTAGGACTTGTTAGGATATTAAACTATTGGGAATTGGCATTTTATATGCATGTCAATTTTTGCCAGGGATCCCCTTTCTGTCAGTGGATTTTTATCTTTTTATCAATATTGCCAACCTCTGCCAACCACAGAATAGGAGAAGGTGAATTCATATTCTGGTTAGGAAATTTCTGGTATTTCAACTATGATTAGAAATTATTAAAAACTCCTGAATGAATGCATAAAACCATAAATCCAAGTAAGCTAAGCTATCTGTAAACTAAGCTTCTGGTTTAAAAGAACAGTTTTTTTTTTGTTTGTTTGTTTATTTAATGCAAATTTTGATAGAGAAAAGTACATAAGGTTATGTAGTCTGAAAAGATGAACTCAAGACTTTTGGTAGTTAGATTTACTCTTTAAAGTTTCTGTAAAATATCACAAAACTATAGTTACTTAATAGAGGTCTTTTGAAAAAAATATTATTTAATGTATTTGCTCTTGTTTCTTTTTAGGTCAGTCTTGATTCTCGAGTTAGAGAGGTGATCAATAGAAATCTGTTGGATCCTAATCCTCACATGTATGAAGATGCCCAACTTCAGATATATACTTTAATGCACAGAGATTCTTTTCCAAGGTTTTTGAACTCTCAAATTTATAAGTCATTTGTTGAAAGTACTGCTGGCTCTTCTTCTGAATCTTAATTTTCATTTTAAAACAATCATTTTGGAGGGCTGAGATGGGAAATAAAAGTAATTAAATAACATCAGACACTGAGTTCCTGGAGAACTACAGTTTAGCATTCCTCAGGCTACTGTGAAAACACAACCATTACAGTCTTTGTCTCCATTTTTATCAAGGTTATCCATGGCTAAGTGTGGAGAAAATACCACACAAAACAATGAATTGCCAAATTGTTTTATTCAACACTCATTCTACTTGCAAGCAAAGTGTATTTGTAGTCCTACGAACAGTCTCCTAGTGTATCTCCAGAGACTGCATGTGCAAAGTAAAACTGCTTCATTTGCCACGTAGTTGTTGTAATATTTAATCCAATAGCATAACTTATATATGTGTTTAAGGACTTTTGTGCAATATGGTCTTAAGAAATAATTGCCAAAAAATCGGCCATGGTTTGCATTTTTTAACATAATCTAAGACAAAAAAATAAGTAATTTTTATGATGTAACAATGGTATTCAACATTCTATATACTGTGTTTAGTACGCTAATTTTGAAGCCAATATTTCTGTACATGAAAAAGAGCTATTTATCTCTGTTTGTTGGAAAATCCTAATAGGGATTTCTCTGGTTGTACACTGCCAAAACTGTGGCATTTTCATTACAGGAGAGTTTGTTATGCTAAAAACAAAAACAAAAAAAAGGAAGAAGAAAAGAAAAAAAGCACAAAACAATTTGAAGATATCCTATCTCAATGAGAAATCAAAGAGTGATATTGCTTTTAATTGTAACAGAAGAAAATGAATTTATGTATATATCAGATGTCCAATACTGTAATTAATTTATTAAAGACTGGCTCTCCAGTTTTAAAATGGTTGTGTAAAGTTATGTACTTCAAGAAAAAAATAATAAGCTTGATAACTTAGTTTTGGAATATAAAGGAAAGGATTTAATAAAGGAATGCCTACATGTAGCACTGTAAAACATTTTGATGAATACCATCTGTCCTGTGGCATATTTTCCTTGAAAGTGAAATCCAATGAAAAGCTAAGTTTTTTACCAGAAAAAGTTTTATAAGGGTTATGAAGAAGATTCTCTACTTCAGACCTTAACTGTTTTCACATAATATCTTAAGGATGACATTTTAAAGATGTTTAAACCAAACTATTAATTTTCATCCATCATTAAAAGGCAGTACAGTGCTCAGATCTTCCAGCTGCCATATTATTTTTTATAAGTACACTAAATCTTTACGACAAAACACCTGCCTGACATTGTCATGTACTTCTGACCTTAAAGGAAACAATATTCTGTCATGCACAAAAGTGATAATTAAAATAGTCAGTGTCATATTTATATCAAAGTGTTACATTTGAATATTAATATCCCCTGAAGACTATTTTTTTAATATTAAACCGAATGAATATAATACTGAGTAACCTAAAATGAAAGTTTTAAAAAGATTTATATCCACTGAGAACACTGGCCTTATATTAAGGATGATATTACAGTTACAGGTTTTCTTTGTCATTTTTTTAACTACCTCTCATTTTTTAATTTATTAAACATATTTTTTAAAAAACAAGTTTGGGGGTTTCTTTTTAAATTTAATTTACTTGAAAGGTTGGCATCATAAGTTTCTTTTTCCATAAACTTAAAACATTTCAAAAATTGTTTTTCTAAGAAAGTATGATTTTCTAATTTATATAGAATTCAGGAGACATGAATAAAAGGGCTATTATCTATTCCCTATGCAAATATTTTAACTGTTGCAGTGTTTGACAAAATGGGATTTTTAAAAAATTGCAGAGTAGAAAACAAAATATTCTGTTTACACTGGCGTTGCTGACTATCCTACCATATTCAGCACTTTTAAATACGTTATTTATGAAAATGTAGTTAAAATGCAAAATAGAAAATATTTATAATAATCATTTCTTTTAACAAATGCTTGTGTTTTCTGAAAGTGTTAGTGTGTTAAGACACATTTTATTCATGTCATTTAGATACTATTTGAATAATAGTTTTCAGTAATATGTTGAAAAGACAGCTATGAAGATGTTTACAAAAAGTCGTATTTTTTCCTAAAGAGTAAAGAAAACCTAAAATAATCATCACTTCTATTGTGAAGTTCTATTGTTCCTAAATTATTTAATTTTTTCTTGCTTAGAATTGAGTTTATTATGCTACTATGATATATACACATGTCTGGTGTAGTATCATGTTTGTTTCTGTGTTTGAGGCACAATAAATTGGTGCACATGACTAGAAAATATGTAATATACTGTGACACAGTGCATGCATCAATCTTTTTAAATGTAGACTTTATATTCTTGTTATTACTATATATGATGGTGACCTGCTAGTCATAAGTTATCTTTATAAGATACTTTGGACTATTAGATGAATTGTCTGTTTGACAATATCTTTAATATTTTACCAAATGTAAAAGATAAGGGCCCTTATAAAGAGTCCTCATCTCTAACCTGGGCATTTGTAGAACACAGATTTTAAAGTTGGTATATCCTTTTGAAACCTGAGTAGGAAGTTGTGTTCAGAAAGATTCTAAAGCTGATTTACACATCAGATGTTGATAACCATGCTATGTGAGCATTTCTGTGCTAAACTCTTATTTGTGGGTGAAGGGAGGGTTTCTCATTTCAGAGTATGTCTGTATATTTGCAACTCTACTAATTTTCTAAGTATGATATAATTTCTTCTGATTAAGTTACAGAGCTATTATAAATAAACAAAAAAGCCTTCAACTGGTGTCTATGCTACCATTCCAAGAGCACAATATTTGTTTTATTAGAATTTGAGTTTTCCTAGCGAGTAAATTCCTCCCTGGGGAAAATCAGCACTTTAAAAGGGACACTTTGTGTTTTTAATTGCCAAGGTGTCTTTGTATACTGTTAGAATTTGCTGATGCACACAGAAAGAGATTAATGCGCTTTCTACAGTGCCTAACTTTAGATGTATAAAAGAAAGAAAGTAGAGGATATAGATTATGTATACATAAATAAATTGGAGATCCAGATTTCTTCAGAGATTGAGCTTATACATATCACACCAGTAATGGATGGATGGCACGACTTTACTCGGGCTGTTATGTTATCCAAAGGTAGTATAGATGCTCTGACAGTGTTAGAGTGTGCACATGAACAAGAGCGAAACACAACTTTGATAATGAAGTGATGAAATGCAAAAGTCAAGACCATAATGTGATCTTTTTTTTTTTTGAAATTTTAAAATATGTACATAGAATGACCAGCTCTGATAAATGGTCATAGTGCATGGGGTGTTTATTAGTATCCTTCAATGCTGCCTAGGTTCTGACTTACAGATGAAATATGTATGGTTTATTTACCTGATAGTTCAGTTTTGCCAAAGGACCAAGTGAAAAATGTTTATTAGGAGCAAAAATACACTTTCATCCCATTAAGCTGATTTAAAATAATGCCTGTTACTTTTGAGTTTATTCATTTTTCTATGCTTTTAACTTATACTTTTAAAAATCATATTGTAATTGTGACAAATGATTTTTCCAAAAACTACCAATTATTGGATGCTTTGGTGTCATAATGTAAAGAGAAAAAATTCAAAATACAATCAAAAAGCCAAAAAATAAAACGTATTTGAAAACCACCTACATTTCTTGGCCAGGCACAGTGACTCAAGCCTGTAATCTCAGCACTTTAGGAGGCTGAGGAAGGTGGATCACTTGAGCTCAGGAGTTCAAGACTAACCTGGCCAACATGGTGAAACCCCGACTCTACTAAAAATACAAAAATTAGCCAGGTGTGGTGGTGGATGCCTTTAATCACAGCTAAGGCAGAAGAATTGCTTGAACCCAGGAGGCAGAGGTTGCAGTGAGATGAGATCATGCCACTGCACTCCAGCCTTGGCAACAGAGCGAGACTCCATCTCAATAATAATAAGTTTTTAAGTCTTAAAGAGATAGGAAATACCTATAGAAAGAAGTCTATCAAACATGTAATTTGAATACTTTGGGCTTGATACATTGAAAAATTATTTTGAAAGATGGTAAAGATATTTCCAAAAAATATTTTTGCTATCTATTTACATTGACAGTTTAGGAGAATAATTTTCTAAGTATATTTTTTAAGCATGTATTTTTGTGTTTTCCATCTTCAAATTTCTAATATAAAATGGTTTGCTCTCCTGTGAAAACAATATCCAATCTGCAAAAATTTTAGTAATTCTTCACTTGCTATGACTGCAAATATTTATCAATAAAACTGATAACTCAAAACTTGCTTCAGATTTTCTCTGCAATGCTTAAAATATCCTTGTAACACAAGACAGTGCACAATGACAAGTATTAGTTCTAAATACCTGGATTTGATTTCTTTATAAGTATTTTTAAAATTATTACTCTTAGAGGTATAGTCCTCTTCAGCCCCAAGTGACATCTTTTCAGATGAATTCAAGGGGATGTTCAATACATTGACTCTAGTGAAAACACTACAGAAGGCAAAATGTTGCCCTAACTGATAGAAGGTCCCAGTTTGGGAACTGATTTTATTCCTATGACAAAGTTTTAAGATGACTAGGGAAAAGGAACACTATCAAACATTGATGACAATAACCAAATATAATGTTTTTAAATATGTCATATGTGCAATGTGAAATTCATTCTTACCTCATTATTTCTCATATTAAATCTCAGAAATTTCAGAATTTCAAAACTGCTGACTTATACCTAATTGCTATTACTACCTTAGAGCTTTTAAACAGTTAGAAATAAAGATTTTAGAATAATAAACAGGTTGTGTTTCTGTCCTAAGCTTGGATGCATTTCCTTTCTAAAGATCTAGCTCTGATTGCTGTATTAAAGGAATGCCACATAGAATACTTACTACTGGAAATGTATGTCCACAGATTCACTTTGGGAGCATAGTGTAAAAACATCAGGAACTGAAAATTGCAAATTTGATTTCAGGTTACATTTCTGTCTCATGTGACTTTTGGCAAATCATTTATCTTCTCAAAGTTCATTTCCTTATCTGCAAATGACAAAACAATTCTCAGGATGGCTATGAGCATTAAATAAAACAAACATAAAAAGAATAAAGTGTGACATACCTGATTATTTTATCAAAGTTCTTCAACTCAATAATTATCTTATGCTTGTATTAAATGTCATTTTAGGCCAGGCACAGTGGCTCATGCCTGTAATCCCAGCACTTTCGGAGGCAGAGGCAGGCAGATCACCTGAGATCAGGAGTTTGAGACCTCTGAAACTCTGTCTTTACTAAAAAAAAAAAAAAATACAAACATTAGCTGGGCTTTGTGTCTGTAATCTTGGCTACTCAGGAGGGTGAAGCAGGAGAATTGCTTGAAGCCGGGAGGCTGAGGTTGCAGTGAGATTGCACCATTGCACTCCAGCCTGGGCGACAAGAACAAGACTCCATCTCAAAAAAAAAAAAAAAAAGCCATGATTAAATGCACCTTGCCCCATTTTTTCCCAAAACATACCTTAAACATCTGATTTAGCTGTTCATCAAAGCAATCATTTTTAAGCTGGAACACTATAGCAATGTCATTGCTTTGCTCAATAATGTGTTCCCAAATCACTACTTTCAATTCACCATCACCTGAAATCTATTGACATGTTTCTTTCAATGACATAGATATAGATAGATAGATAGATAGATAGATAGATAGATAGTAGGTTAAAGTTTAAATAAATAATTTGAAAATTTTGTTTCCAATGGAAATAAAACAACATTCCCAAGGATAGAAATAATATCAAGTTTTTGGTAAATATATAAATGAGGTATAGGGTTAAGACTAATTTATAAGAGATTGACAATTAGAAAACACTCTTTTTACTATTAAGGCAGTATGATTTTTCTTTAACAATTTTACAATGAAAATAAAAATTAATAAAAGCTGGTAATCAGCTGGGCACTGTAGCTCATGCCTATAATCCCAGCACTTTGGGAGGCCAGGGCAGGAGGATCACTTGAGCTCAGTAGTTCCAGACCTGCCTATGCAACAAAGTGAGACCCTGACTCCTAAGAAAAAATAAAATGTTTAAAATAAAAATAAAATTTAATATAGTAATATGTCCATTAAACCTTGTATTTTAGAGTTTACGATTTACAGAAAAACTGCAAATAGAGAGGTCCCATATATACCTATGGGACATCTGTCAAAATTAATGAACCAATATTGATCATTAAGTTCATACTTTATTCAGATTTCCTTAGTTGTTAACCTAATGTCCATTTTCTGTCCCAGGATCCTATTCATGATACCACATTACATTTAGTTGTCATGTTTCCTTAGGCTTCTCTTGGCTGTGACAGTTTCTGAAATTTTCCTTGTTTCTGATGACAGTTTTGAGAAATAAACTGTTATTTGCAGAATGTTCCTTTGTGGGGATTTGTCCGATGTTTTTCTCATGAGTAGACACAGGTTTTTGGGTTTTTGGAAGAACACAAAGGTAAAGTGCCATGCTTATCCTATGATATCAAAAAGTACATGCCCCATCATGAGGACTCCTCTTAGCTGTGAGTTTCTCAAACTTCGGGCTACTCTTAGCTATTGATGTTACCCTTGATCACTTAGCTGAGATAGGATCTATTGTGTTTCTCCACTGAAAAGTAATATATTTTTAAAGAAATTACATTGAAGGTAAATTTTCTGGACATGTACACTGAGCTAAACAAATTCTAAGCAGATTCCTCAACACTAATACTAGGTTCCATTAGGTGACTACTAATAAATGCTATAAAGAAAATACAGTGAAGTGGAAAAATAGAAGTCCAAAAGTCTTAGCCTGAATATTCACCTAATAGAGGTGAAAGTGAATTTTTCCCTTAACTATCTGCATAATTAATTACAATAATCCTCTACATACTTTGGATATTAAAGATGTTAGTTTTACTAACTGTGATAAGAAGTAATTTAAATTTAAACTAACCATTTTGCTTAGTGCATTTCTATATTACCCTCCACTAATCAATGAACAGTGAATATTGAAATAATGTAAAAGATCTGATGTATTTCCGGCCGGCTTTAACCAATTTGTCATATGTGTCTTGTATGTGATTTTTAAATGTTTGCTAAATATTAAAAAGAATTTCAATGTGTTTGGTTTTGTAAAATTACACATCGAATGTGTATAATTTTTTACTACCATGTTCATTATACTTAATAATCTATATCCAAATATTGTACTCCACCAATATTTATCAGTGGACAATAAAGAAATTTTGAATGCATGAATACAACTTAAGAGGCACCACACTGGTGTTATTTTGCAATGCCAGAATAACAGTGGGTACTCATAAATTGAATAGATAACCCAGATTATGCTTCCTCCAATTTAAGTTTTTCTGGTTTTTTTATTCCCCCTTCCTAGAATCAATTTATCTTTTTACCTATGTACAATAATATACTTCTGGAAAATGCTAGAATTTTCACCATGTAATAGAATTTGAGCATGACAATAATGTAAAAACATTGAGAAGTCTCAAACTAGGTATCTTTCTTTGAGTTTTCAAAGTAAATCAAAATACAGCTGTTTTCATTTTACTATATTGTGGAAACCTCTGGATGTTATTGTAAAAGGCACGTGCATTACACTGACTTTCTTAAAATGTTTTGAATTAATAAAGTCAACAATGTATCCTTAGAAAGTTACTGTTTCCTCATTGGTATAACACTATAAGAATAAAAGGTACACTTCTGTGTGTTACTTAAATTGCTTATGCACTTGGGGGAAGATAAATTCTGGCTAGATTCTTTACATTGTTCTATAAGGTTTTAATTATTAAAATTTTGCAACTTTCATAAAATATATCTTGAAGTCACTTATGTTCTGAGAATTCAACTGAGATTTATCATGTTGAGTTCAAGTAATTAAATAAATTCAAAGTTGAGTTCCGCCTCAGGAAACAACTGTTCTAATAGAGAGAAAAACATCCTCATCAGCCCTGTTCTATCCTCAGATCAAGATTAAAATAAAATGGGTTTCAGCAGCAGAACAATTTTATAGTTGTGTAGCTTGAATACAAAAAGCAAAATGAACTCAGGTAATTAGTAGGAGCTTTTAAGTGGCAAAAAACTATTTTTGCTTCCTGTAAGAGTCATTTCATTCTTCCACTCACTCTGCATTTGTATGTCGTGTTGAGAGATTTAAAAAGAGACACAAGGCAAACGTATTTTGTAAGAATTTTGTCCTTAACCTCAAGAGTTTCGATTAGATGAAGAGTTACCATTTTTTTACCATTTTATTTTTTATGAAAGAATTAGAATTTAAGTTCTTCCACTATATCATCTCTCTCAACAGTGAAATGCCACTTAGTAGACGCTGCCCAAATCAGGTAATGGCAGTTCCCAGATTCAGCGTTTAGCCCTTGCATTCCCGGGACTGTCCTGGTTGTGTTTATCCCCCCATATCTATTTCTCTGTTGAGCTGTGAACAGGTATTTTGAAAACTGCAAAGCACTGTGCCAATAAATGTCTGTATTGCTGGCACCTACCTGCTATCAGCAGTTTTTTTGGAAAAGGACAAGGGTTAGACTGCTGGAGGCAGATATCTGAAGGCTTTGTTGGGCTGTAGGTTGTTGTAACACGGAATCAATCAACCTCTTTAAAAAGTAGCTGAAGATAAATGGGAATAAGTGAAAATGAATGAGGAGGCGAATAACAAAGTCCTCTGAAAGCAAGTAAATGTCGTGGCAGATATTGTGCAAACTCATTCAGTGGTTATCTCATAATACACTATCACATCCTTATGAACACGAACCTGACCCACAGTGGACAAGAGAAACCTAAGCAGGAAAAAAGGTGGAGGAATAGACATACGCATACCCATACTAAAACTGGCTCTTGGAGACTCAGGGCCAGGCGTGCACTGGAGACTGACGACTTGAGTGGGTATGACCTCCGCCCCGCAGCGGACCTTCGACTGCCCTCCCCTGCGGCTCTGGAAACCCGACTCAGTGCGCGGGAAAGAAATTCTCGCTATCAGAACACAGAGGGGCGATTTGCAGCTCTCACCTTCCGGCCCAACGCATCACCCATTACCCAGGCACGTGCAAAGCAGCTTTCAGAGGAGGCGCCCAAGGTCTCCCAGGCCCGCTCCGCACTAATCACTCTCTGCTCAGCCCCCTCAAATTTTGCCTCCAGGAAGTTCGCAGCGTTCCCACGCTTGGCCGGAAGTTCCCTCAAAGGCTTCCGGAAAATCCTTTAAAATTAAACAGCGCGTGCGCTGGGCGGGGCTTGGTGAACTCTCGCCCCTATCTCCGAGTTTCGGGTGCTGTCGCGAGACCTCCTCTGTCCGGAACTTCCGATTCCGGTTAGCAGCCGTGGTCTCGTTTTACCGATGCGGTCCAGTCTTCTGTGGTGTGCTGCCCGGTTGCTGTGGCCCCGCGGGGCCGTTGGCGCAGCCCGCCGGCCCCTGAGCGGCGGTAGCCGGCCGCTGGAGGAGCTGTTCGCCCAAGGCGGGCCCTTGCGGACCTTCCTCGGGCGCCAGGCGGGATCTGAAGCTCATTTGAAGGTCAGGAGGCCGGAGTTGGTGGCGGTAGTCAAACTGCTGAACGAGAAGGAGCAGGAGCTGCAGGAGACCGAGCACTTGCTGCACGGTAAGGGCTGGGCTCGGGGTGCGGCATCAGAGCACACTCTTGACTCTTCCTTGGCCTTTTCTGCTAAGCCACTGCCCACGCTACCCGAGTTGGAAATTCTGTACTCGCTTGCGGCTGTTTTTGGTTTGGATCAGAAGTCAAGACATCATGATGTGCCCTCTGATCCCATCCTTTCCTGTGAGCTCTCTTGTGCTCCCTTGCCACGGTGCCCTGCCCCCTTTTACATGCTTATTGTTTCCTCGAGCAAGAGCTCATTAGCTCACCAAGGATAAACAAGGTACTGTCCCTGTGATGGACTCCACAGCGGTGTTTCTCAAAGTGTGGTGTGGAGACCTGTCTGCAGTAATATCAGGGGCAGTGTTAAAAGCCGACTTAGGACTCAGAATCTCAGACCTAGACATGTGCATTTTTAACAAGTTTCCCAGGTGAATCTGGAATGGGGCTTAAGTGTCTGCATTACTATACGGTCCCACGCCTGCCAAGCTGCTGCTGGTCAGGCATCACTTTGGGTAGCAAGCTTCCAGAGAGATTCGCAGTCTAGTGAGGGATATAATTAATTACCTATAATATAGCTGATAAGAACAGATATAAATGTATGAATAAAGACCTAGGAGAGCAAGCACTTGTTAGACACTGGAGAGGTATAAAGTCCCACCCATATATAATATAATAGTAGTTTAACTTGTATTGATTCCTTGCTATGCTCCAGGCTTTGCTTAGACACCACTAATTACTAAAAACAAAAATACAGAAATAGCTTTTAGGAGCTTACAGTCTAGTAAGGGAGATATGTAAGAAGTAAAATAAGAAGTGACTTTTATATATGAGTGTTTAATGTCTGCAGTAAAGCCGAGAGTGGTTATAAAAACAAAGGCTGGCATTTAAGTGTATCTCGAAGGGTAAGCAGGAGGTTGTCTGTCAGATGGTACAAGAGTTTGAAGGCAGAGAGGTGACCAGCCTGGGTAAAGGTACTAATTTGGGAAATTCAATATGGCCTAAGTATAGAATAGGTGGCAGATAATAATGTCATGTAAACATAAAGCCAGAAAGATAGTTAAGAACCTTGCAAGACAATTTGGATTTATTTTTATAGCCCATGGAAAGTTAGCATATATTTTTAAGCACAGAAGACACGTCTTTGTAAAGAAAAGTTAGTGGTGGCATGCATTGAGGATAAATTGGCTATTCTCCAGAAACCCTGGTGACTGACAGGCCAGGGAGGAGGCAGTTGAAACAATCCAAGGAAGAGATGGTGTTCGGCATAGGTCTGACTCCAAGACATTCTGAGGAACAAGTTAGGATTTAGTGGCTTATGCCCTGAGAAGGATGAAGGAGAAAGAGAGTTCTAAGACAAGTCTTAGGTTTCTGGCTTCAAAACATGAGTAATACTGTTAATTAAGATGAAAATATAAAAGTTGTACCAAATTTTTAAAAAAGGGGTTTTGTGTTGAATGCTATATTAAGTTAAAAATACCTGTGAAAAGGACAGTCCGATAAAGGTGTCTATACTAGTCTAGGAGAAAAAATTACTGACATAGGAGAAAAATTGAGCTCAAATAATCATATGAGAGCTCTCGAGATATACAGTACATGGTAAATTAAACCTTAGATATAGATGAGAACACTCAGGGAAAATTTGTTAGGACAGAAACAAGTCTAACAATGCCAGAAATTCATAGTATTTGAGGAGCAGGCAGAGAAGAAAGCTATGAAAGGTCAAGAAAAAACAGGCAGAGCTTTGTGACCTTGAAGTCGATAAATGAAGTTGTAGAAGCCAATTGAAGAAAATTTCAAAGAGATCTTCCGCCAGGCACAGTGGCTCACACCTGTAATCCCAGGACTTTAAGAGGCCCAGCACTTTGAGAGGTGGGTGGATCACTTGAACCCAGGAGGTCGAGACCAGCCTGGGCAACATGGCAAAACCCTCTCTCTATAAAAAATGCAAAATTAGCTGGGCGTGGTGGTGCACGCCTGTGGTCTCAGCTACTTGGGAAGCTGAGGTGGGAGAATGGCTTGAACCCAGGAGGTGGAAGTTGTAGTGAGCCGAGATGGTGCCACTGCACTCCAGCCTGGGTGACAGCGCAAGACCCTGCATCAAAAAAAAAAAAAAAAAAAAAGAGATCCTCAGTACCTGAAAAAGAAAGGTAAAACTCAGCTTTTCAACTCACACTGAAATAAGTCTTTAGATTTGGCAATTTTGTCATTAGTGATCTGAATAAAAATAGTCTTAATATGATTATAGAATCCAGTGTAGAAGCTCGAGAAGTAAATTGGAGTTAAGTAGGTAAAAGTTAATAGGAGTAAAGTAATAAAAATGGCATTTATCTCCAGAAATCTGGGTGGGAAGAGAGGGGTGACAATAAGCAGCTACTTAAAGGGTTGAAAAGAAAAGGACCCATTTAGAATGGGAAACCATAAACATCTTTGTAGGCAAAGGGGAAGGCAGGCACGTGATAGGTGCCCAGTAAACATATGTTGATTTATAAAATTCAAAAGAAATTAAAGAAGTAATATATTACCATTGCCTATGAATAACTCCTCTGTCTAAACCCTTTGGAGCTGTGCTGTCCAGTATAGTAGCCAGTAGCCACATAGCTATTGACCATCTATATGTGGCTAGTCTGAATTGAGATGTGTAAGTATAAAATACATATAGATTTCAAAGACTTGGTATAAAAATATTTTTATGTTAATTACATGTTGAAATAATATTTGGAGCATATTGGGTTAAATAAAATATAGTTTTAAAATTAAATTACTTCTAGATTCTAGTTCCAATCTCCTTAGCTTTGTAGAACTGAAAGGCACCTTAGAGATCATCCAGCTCACAACTTCAATTTCATTCTTGCCGTAACTGAGAGAAGTTGAGCCTATTCCCCTAACAGTACCTCAGCATTAAGCTAGGGCTAGATTTCATTTTTGCTTTTCCTAACTCAACATATTTTCCATTCTGCCAAATTTCTTCCATACCATATGCTTGGCAAAATAATTTCCAGCTGTCCTTCCTGTACTTGCTTATCTCAGTTTTGCTTTTGTTATTCTCTCCTTGAGTTAATCTTTCTTTACTTTTTCTGCCCATCCCAAAATCAAGAGATTCCTTTAGGGTGCTACTGTTTTAATATTTAGTCACATAATGTATTAGTCTGTTCTCACACTGCTGATAAAGATATACCCAAGACCGGGTAATTTTTAAGAAAAAGAGGTTTAATGGACTCAGTTTCATGTAGCTGAGGAGGCATCACAATCATAGTGGAAGGCAAAGGCATGTCTTATATGGCAGCAGACAAGAGAGAGAACTTGTGCAGGAGAACTCTTTTTTATAAAACCATCAGGTCTTGTAAGACTTACTCATTATCAAGAGAACAGCACAGGAAAGACCTGCCCCCAAGATTCAGTTACTTCCCACTGGTTCCCTCCCATGACAGGTGGGAATTGTGGGAGCTATACATCAAAATAAGATTTAATAGTGGTTTAGGTTATTTTTTGTTTTTCTCCTCTAGAAAAAATATAAAGAAACTAAAATTATCTATAATGCTCTCTTGACTGCAGGTTTTATATATCTATTATCCCAGTTCCCAGCATGGTTGGTTCCTAATAGATAAGCATACAAACTGATATTTTGTAAGGATTTGAACTTTCAGTAGAGAGAACAGTTCGTTAATAGCCAGAAATTTTCCCTTTCCTCCTCCTTTATATAGGCTGCATATCATCTGTGGGATAGAGGAATGAGAAAGTATGTTTTATAAGGTAAAAACAAAAATTCAAAGATGAAACAACAATAAGGTAAAGCCAGAGAAAGGAGAATTTCACACAAACATTCTGTATACATTAGCTAGTCTAATAAATGTTTTTGGGTATATACTAAAATACTAATGAAACATTTGCTTATAAGAAAATAAATAACTTTCTACTTTTTAATTCAATTTTCGTTTTACTGGTGTAACCTATTTCCCTTCTGTCTTATTAGCTAAATGCATTCATTTGTTATTGTACAGTCTAAGTTGGAAGTCTAAAAGCATATTTATTAAGGTAAATATTTTGCAGAGATGAAATTATGGAAGAGTTTAGCTTCTTTATATTTTTATAGGCATTTTTACTTGTACTTTTATCAGAAAAAGAATTTATACTTAAATGCTTATGAAAACGAATGTATAAAATGCCACTTTTAATTAATGGCATTTATTGAAAGTACAAGATAGACATTTTATTTTTCCCTTCAGGTATGATAACCATAAAACTATTACATGGAAGTCTGTTGGCAATTTAACATTAATTAAGAAAAACTTAATTTCTGCCCTTCTGTTCCCAGATGAAAATGAAGATTTAAGGAAACTTGCAGAGAATGAAATAACCTTGTGTCAAAAAGAAATAACTCAATTGAAACATCAGGTATGGTATTTCTGCAAAGAGTAAAGCATTTGTGCTATTCTTAGGCACTAAAGGTTATTAAAAGTTTATTAAAAAACAAAGAAGTGACTAGCTTGTTACTGTTTTGAATAAACTGGGTTTTAAATTTTTTATTTTCTAGATTTACTGAGGTATAAATTAACCCCCAAAATTGCATAAATTTAAGGTATATGATGTGATGTTTTGATATATGCATACATTTTAAAATGATTATCACTATCAATAAACTGGTTTTTAAAGCAAGAACAAACATGGTCCTCTTTTCATCATACTAAAAGTATTATAGAGCTCTCACAGAAAGATAAATGTCGCAGTGATAGTATTTTCTGGAAAGGCAGCGAAATACTGGCATATCTTCCCTTTTTTTTTTTTTTTTAAGACAGCTGAGAAGTAGACACGGGGCAGAAGAGGTTATATGAAGGGACTTCAAAAGTTTGTGGAAAACTGGTATTAAAAGATAAAAATATATATAAACTTTAATTTATTGACAAATGCCATCAACTATCAAGTTCAAGATACTTGTAGGCAAAAAGGTGATACACTAGCATTTAATGCATCCTTAAAGAACTGAGGGTCCTGGGAATTTAACCATATCAATATAATCTTTTTAATATTATTAACTAAAGAACAGTAGGTACCCTTTACACATTTTTTAAAATTAGGAAACAAAATAAAGGAGGAGCCAAATAAGGACTGTAATGTGAATGCCTATGGATTTTCCATTGAAACTCTCAAAACTGCTCCTCTTTGATGAGAGGAATGAGCAGGGGCACTGGTGTAGTAGAGGACTCTGGTGAAGCTTTCCCCCTAAAACTTTGGGTGACTTTCTCAAAACCCTCCTAATCAGATATTATTGTTCTTTGACCCTCAAGAATGTCAACAAGCAAGATGTCCTGAGCATCCCCAAAAACACGATTGCCACGACCTTTGCCGCTGGCCAGTCTGCTTTCACTTTGACTGGACCCCTTCCACCTCTTCGTGGCCATCGTTTCGATTATACTTTGACTCTAGGATCATACTGGTAAAGCCATGTTTCACTTCCGCTTACAATGCAAATAAATGCTTCAGGATCTCGATACAATTTGTTTAAAATTTCAATTGAAAGCTCTGCTCTGGCCTGCAGCTAATATCTGCATGCAAAGATTCTGGCACACATCCAGTGGAAAGCTTGATCACCTGTAATTTTTTTTCTCAGATTGTGTAAGCTGAACAAATTGAGATGTCTGTGGTCTGGCGACTGTTTCTGCTGTTAATGACCAGTCCTCTTCAGTTAGGGCACAAATAAGATTAAATTTTTTCCTCACAAATTGATGTGAATGGTCTGCCACTGTGGGCTTTTTCAACATCATCTTGCCCCTTCTTAAAATGAGTTACCTGTTTGTAAACTGCTGATTTCTTTAAGGCATTGTCCCCATAAATGTCATAAAGCATCAGCGATTTCACCATTCTTCTACCCAAGCTTCACCAGCAAGTTATTGTTTGTTCTTGCTTCAATTTTAGCAGAGTTCATATTACTCATAGGGGCTGTTTACAAACTGATACCCTTCTTTGTACCTCAAGCTAGAGCCTGTAACTTGTTATAACTAGTTAAAAGGAGTTTAATTTGTTGCAAAATAACTTAGAAATACAACTTCTTGAAGTTCCCTGGTAGAGTGATAGTCAACTGTGAGCTCCTCAGGGGCAGGAATATTTATTTTGCATCTCTGACACTATTTAGAATGCCAGACATAGAGTAGGCTCTCACGATTTTAAGAATTGGGTTATATTGCTTTGATTATATCCAGGAGAATTGCAGAACATATTGGAGTTCATGAAGACTAATTATTATATGAAATTTGAGTCACTCTTTGCTAATTTTGTAAAGCAGAAACTAAAGGTTAACAGTGGTTACCTCTGGGGATAAGTGAAAGAATATTTTACATGAGGAAGGAGCCAGGAAAGGGGGTACTTATTTTTGAAAATCTGCCTCCTCTTTAGCCAAATGTGAAAATTACCAAAAATTAATTTTCCTATAAACTATGTTAGAGGGAAGAATTCCACTATAAGGTGAAAAGTGTAGTGTAGCTCGTGTTTTACCCACTATCTAAATTTTGTATGAATAAGAAGCATATGTATATTAAATATTTCTGTTGAATGTCTAGTAATCATCAGGCAGAGGTACAATCCATTATTTGTTCAAAATTTGAATGATAATGTTGTATTGGCATAGGCTAGAGAGATGGAAAAGTAGTAACTAGCGTAGCTTCTGACCAATGTCAAGTGTGATAGCAGTGTACTCAGGTACATTCAGGTTCAATTCTAGCTCTTCCACTTTTGAGTTGTGTAATGTTGAACCACTAGATAATTCAACCCCTCTAAAGTTAGTTGAGCTATTAATAATACTTACCCAAGATTGTTTTAAAAATTAAAGTATGTACAGTGCTTAGATTACCTGCCATGTATTAAAGAACCAATAAATGTTGGCAGCTTTTCTTACTAGTTAACCTAATCCAAGAAGTCTTTATTCTAGATCCCCTTGATTAGAAACATACTATTATAATGGAGGAAAGACTGATCTAGGCACAAAGAGTTGTGTTTTTGCACCTGCTTGGCCAATAACGTAACACTTTGCCTTTTAACAAGTCATTTAATCTCTGTTAACCTCTGTTTCCTTGACATGTAAAATTAAAGAATTGGACCAGATAATCTCTAAGGGCCTTTTTAGTTTCAAAATTACAAGTTTCTCTTCCATAATAAGAAATCTTAAAATAATACAAATGCAATTTTGAGTGCTTTTGTTTTTCTGTCATACTAGGCATTAAATTGCAAGAGGATGGAGCTAGAATCTTCTTTTGTTCTCTACAACAGTATTATTTCCTAATCACAGAAAGCACACATTATTAACTGAATAGAGAACTGATATAAAGCATATAAGAACTCCAAGAGACAATAATACAAGCCTGAAGTTTTAGCTGAATCTGACAGCATTTATAATATAGTTGTAACATTAATAATTTATGGAAGTTACACATTATACAGTTCTAATTGGCAAGATGGTTGAACAGTGCTCAGCAATATTATTTGCTTGGTAAAACTTAAGTCAAATATTTAAAAATTCCTGAATCTAATCATTTAGCTTTTTATTTTTTGGTAAATTTTAAATCTTAATTATAGGAGGGGTGATACATTTTTCTATTTACAGATTATCTTACTTTTGGTTCCCTCAGAAGAAACAGATGAAAATGATTTGATCCTGGAAGTAACTGCAGGAGTTGGAGGTCAGGAGGCAATGTTGTTTACTTCAGAGATGTTTGATATGTATCAGCGATATGCTGCATTTAAAAGATGGCATTTTGAAACCCTGGAATATTTTCCAAGTGAAATAGGTCAGTAAACTATTCATTTGGTTTTGAGTAAAGTGTTGCGGAAAAGAGTTGGAAAGACCATGACTAGGCTTTAGAACTGATCCGTAAAGATGCTTATGTAGTTTTATGCTCATCATTTACCTAATAAATTTGAATGTAAATACAGTAATTTTGAAATGACCTATAAAATGTAATAGTCTTTCAATAATACCATTGAATTACTAACAGTCTTCAAAAGTAGCCTTAGACGTGTTATTGATATCAATTGATTAGCCCCATAAATGCTTTAATAATTATAAGCAGTAAAGACAAATATTAAAACATTGAATATTTAATATGTTTTACAGTCTCCATGTTTCTCTCCTTTTATGACTTCCAAAAATGTACCTCAAGATAGTAGATGTGATGGTCAGTTATAAAAAGCAAGAATAATAAAAATAATTCTATTTCCCTATATTTTCAAGGTGGCCTTAGACATGCAACTGCCAGCATTGGGGGTTCAGAAGCCTATAGGCACATGAAATTTGAAGGAGGTGTGCACAGAGTACAAAGGGTGCCAAAGACAGAAAAGCAAGGCCGCATCCATACTAGCACCATGACTGTAGCAATATTACCCCAACCTACTGAGGTAAGGCGTAAGCCCCTCTCCTTGGACTCCTGGGCTTAGTACAGTGCCTTGCCCCCAGAGTAACATTCAGAGTTTACTGAATTGAGTATCTCCTTTTCACTTGGTCTTCCTTGTGTATTTTAAGTTGCATATTATCTCAGTCCAAAAATATAATTTTATAATGTTAAAAATTAAGGATTTATAAATGATACAATCTTGCATTTTCTGTGTATTAGTATTTTCCTACTACGTAGTTATTGTGAGATCATCTCTGTGGGTAAAATAATGACCTATTTAAATATGGACTGGTTGTCTTTATGGTAACTTCTGCCTTGTAGGGCTGGTTTGTGGGGTATTAACTGCAAAAATCCTATTTTACAAAGCTAATTACTTAACTGAATTGCTGCTTCATAACCCAGTTACATTAAAATGAAACTACAAAAGTATACTCATTCATAATGAATATACTGTATTCTCACAAAGCAAATTGTCAGTCTGTATTTTTAAGATAACTTAGTGTAGGAGTTCCATTTTGCTTCATTTCCTTCTGCTGAAAAGTGATAATAATTGATTTGTTTTTCAGAGTGAATTGTGAATGCTTTGAAAAGGAACTTTTTAGTGTTTCCTACGCTAATTTTGGGAAGGAGTGCTATTTGACTCTGTAATAGGGTTAATGGAATTCCTTTCTTTAGGTCTTATTAGTTTCTTTAGATCTAATTTTTGTGTGAAGCATACATGAGAAACTAAGCAGTTAAGAGACAGAGTAAAGTAGAATAAATGGCAGGAGCCACACCTAGGAACCTAGTCACTTAGGTCTAAGCATGTTGGGGTGGAACTTTTAAGGAAAAGATGCGAGACTGAAGTCCAGGAATCATCTAATTCTTCTAGCAACCATAGACAGAGTCATACAGGGCGACATAGAAGTAGAGGGCCCAGGGAATGGTAAGATTCTTGCTGCCAGAGTTGCAGACACTCTTTCCTTTATAAAGTTGATACATGTCACAGAGTGGTTCATAGTTATTCATGAAACAGTGCTTTTGATGGTGGCTCCCGGGACAGAGCATTACCTTGACCTCATATCCTAGTGTGTTCAGGAATTGAGTCTATAACCCATGACTTCTTGGCCACTCCCATTTCCATTTTGCTCACCTTTGCCTCCAAATATGTTTGAAATAAAACAGATCCTTCCCACAGTTCTCAAGCTACCATTGTTTTTTTCTGCTGCTAGGCTCTTTAACTCAGAAAAATTTGAAGAATCTTTCCTTAGCTCATACATTCACAGTTCTAAAAGTAGGCAGAACAGAATCAAGTTCTGCTGTTTCCGTGGTAAGAAACGGGTAAAGAGAAGCCAGGTTTTTGAGGATTAGGAAGGATTTGTTTTTCAAAACCATACAGTCCTGTACTATTTTGATTCCTTATTCTTCCAAAAAGCAAAAAAGTTTTAAAGAGTATCCTGCTAGCTACTTTCTAGTCTTAAAATTAAACCTCCTAAATCTTACATGAATTCTGTACTTGTTGTGTATTCATAAATGGGTCACTCTTGCCTTTATAAAGTTGATACATGTAATTTTTTTATAATCCCAACTTTTCTTCTTTATAGATTAATCTGGTGATTAATCCAAAAGATTTGAGAATTGACACTAAGCGAGCCAGTGGAGCTGGGGGGCAGCATGTAAATACCACAGACAGTGCTGTCCGGATAGTTCATCTTCCAACAGGTATGTGCTTATTCCTTCAACATATGAGACAAAAGAAATCCATTTTGGAATAATTTGACTAATTTTCCACTGAAATAGATCCTTGGTTACAAGAGGAATATGTACGACTAAGGACTGTTATTAAATACGTGATTTACTTAGGATCCTTACCTGATTCTCTGTGGGATAATTGAAAGGCCAGGAAGAGGGAGGGATCCAAACTCAGGGAATGTCTGTATTAATGACTATAGAAGGTGTGGATAGTCCTTCCAGGTAGACCTCTAAAGTTTATACTTTTAAAAAGAGAATCCTCACAGTAAAGTAATTATCATGAGTTCTTTATCAGAAAATGCTCCAAGTCATTGGTTCTGAGCCTTTTTGCAGGGGAGGGGAACATGGCCTCCTTTAAAAATGATATGAAAAGCATTGGACCTCCTACCCAGAAACATATGTACAGCTTTGCATATAATTACAGGGGCTTCTTTCCATTAAGTTCATTCACAGACCTCCAGGGGATCTGATTCTAGATAGTTAGGCAAAGGGACTTTATCCAAATCTTTAAGTCTCCAGTATACTTAGTAGGTTGAACTAAACGCCTTTCAGTGAGTCACATGTGATAAAGAGCATATGGATAGCAAGTCTCACTTATCTAGAAAGGAGACAAAAATCTCCTACTAGGACTGATTTCAAATGGGCATAATCCCTATTAACTAATAGTGGTTGAGAAGAGTATTGGATTGCTGTGATTTTGTTCTTTTAATTATGAGAATATCCTTATGTTAAACTGGGTATGTCTTAGGTAATACAGAAGATGAAACAGAAATTAAGGAAAAATGGATATCCTAAAAAAATTAAGTGATTTTTCAGTATCTTAGTTTCTATAAGTAGTTGTTACTTTCAAAACATGGTGGCTAGCTGAGGGGAAACAATCCATATTAAATGATTTATGCTTATAGTTTAGTATGTATGCCTTCAGTATAGAAGTACTTTGTGCTATCGCTCAAACTTAAATTTTCAGTTTCCTGATAAACTCTGCAAAAGTTAAGTCTATAGTCTCTCCCTTTTTTATTAGAGTCCTGTTTTTTCCCCTCATAAAGGAAGAAGAAAAAGGCTGAGAAGGAAAAGGAGTATTCCTTGATAATAAGTAAAGAAGATTTTTCTATTAAAACTTTTTAATTCTCGTAACACTATTCAGGTGTTGTTTCTGAATGTCAACAAGAGAGATCTCAACTGAAAAATAAAGAGCTGGCTATGAAAAAGTTACGTGCAAAACTGTACAGCATGCATCTAGAAGAAGAAACAAATAAGAGAGACAATGCTAGAAAAATTCAGGTAAAAATGAATTGTAAAAATGCTTTTAAAGGATAGACATATTTTTATATAACAGCTTTTTTAAAATAACTCGGTTTTTACACATCATATTTGTTTTAACCTGTGTTTAAACAATTCACATAGTCTAAGGGCTATACTTGTTTGATAGTAATCTTACACTTCTGCCCTCTTTTCTGTATTCAAAGGTATTTTTTTCAGACTTTTAATTAGTTACTAAAAGTAAAGATATGTACTGAGTCCTCATTCAGTTTTAATCATTTGAAATTATAATTATGCAAGAAAGTTGGAAAGCAAACTCAACTTGGCTTTCTCCCTGTTTGGTATTTAATTTTTTTTTTTTTTCCTTGAGATGGAGTTTCGCTCTTTTGCCCAGACTGTAGTGCAGTGGCGCAATCTCAGCTCACTGTAATCTCCGCCTCCAGGGTTCAAGCAATTCCCCTGCCTCAGCCTCCCGAGTAGCTGGGATTACAGGCATGTGCCACCACGCCTGGCTAATTTTTTGTATTTTTAGTAGAGACAGGGTTTTGTCCTGTTAGGCAGGCTGGTCTCAAACACCTGACCTCAGGTGATCTACCAAACTCAGCCTCACAAAGTGCAGGGATTACAGGCATGAGCCATTGAGCCCAGCTGGTATTTTTTATAACTACAGAGCCTTTTAAGAATTCCTCAATATGGAAAACTCACCACCTTGTTACCAATGAAGATGACTGCATTAATTCACAGAGATTATATGTATTCAGCGACTATAGGAATAGCAACCATGTGCCAGGCTCTATACTCATCATCACTGTGTAGTAGATATTGTATTTTGCAGATGGGGAAACTAAGTTGCCTGGGGTCATGGAACATTGAAATGGCTGAGATAGGATTCAGATATTAATCTGACTGTAGAGCAGATGTTCTTTTTTCTATAATGTTGCCATGTCATTTGGAGATTCTTTAAAACCTGGTTCTTGCATTTTGATTCATGTTATAAATCAAGAACTTAGTTTTCAAATAAGTTAAATTTGTCGGTTTAAACTGCCCTGAATCTAACAACATCTCACCTTTTTTTTTTTCCTATATACAGATTGGAAGTAAAGGAAGATCAGAGAAAATAAGAACATATAATTTTCCACAGAACCGGGTCACAGATCACAGAATAAGCAAGTCACTGCATGATCTTCAAACTTTTATGCAAGGGGATTATCTACTGGATGAACTTGTACAGTCATTGAAGGAATACGCTGATTATGAATCTTTAGTAGAAATTATTTCCCAAAAAAGTTTAAGTTGATTTATTTATAGACTTTTGTAACTTAAAAAAATTCTACTACAGCACATCCACATAGTGTGAAAATGCCATTATTCTCTTAAAAAAACATGAGTTAACACATTTGGAAGTAATATGCATATTCTGAAGTCACAGATAATTTACATAGATCTCTCTCAATGCATTTAATACAAATCATACAATATGCAGATGGTCCTTGATTTACATTGTGGTTCATTCCCAATAAACCCATCATAAGTTAAAAATGCATGTAACATTAGCAACACAACAGTCCCCTACTTAATAACAGCTTGACTTAACAATTTTCCAACTTTACCATGGTGCGAAAGAGGTATGATTAGTTAAGTCCTAAGAAGCTCCTAAGCTTGAAATGGGGCTACATCTCGATAAACCCATCAGAAAGTCAAATAATCCTAAAACCATCATAAGTTGGTGACCACCTGTAATCATGACATGGTGTAAATCTTGGATGCTTCCTTGCAATAAGTAGACAAAGGAAAATCATCCCTTGTCTTGTTCTTTTTTTTTTTTTTTTTTTTTTTTTTTTTTTTTTTTTTTTTTTTTTTTTTTTTTTTTTTTTTTTTTTTTTTTTGGTTTTGTTTTTTTTTTTTTTTTTTTTTTTTTTTTTTTTTTTTTTTTTTTAATGAGATGAGAGGGAAACTTAGATCCATTTCACTGAGGAGTTTGGTGCTAGGGTTTTTTTTTTTTTTTAAGAAAAAGAGAAAGGGGGAGAGAGAACAGGAGTCTTGCTCTATTGCCCAGGCTGGAATGTAATCTAAACATAAGTATTAAAAACCTCTTTTATGCCAATAATTAACAGCAGAGACAGGAAGGAATAAGGGAAAAAAATAACAAACAAATAGCCAACCAATATTTCATTTAAATCTGTGAAATGCCATGCAAATGCTGAAGAGTGATTTACTACTTCCATTTATGTGGTCACTTTCAAAACAGGTGTAATGTGATACTGAAAAACAATGTATGTTCTGTGGACCTGGGGTGAAGAATTCTATAAATATTCACTGAATTTACTTGTTCCAGGTCTGAGTTCAAATCATAAATGTCCCTGTTAATTTTCTATCTCATTGATCCGTCGAATATTAACAATGTGGTGTCAAAGTCTCCCGCTATTGTGCGGGAGTCCAAATCTCTTTATAAGTCATTAAGAACTTGTCTTATGTATCTGGGTGTTCCTATATTGGGTGCACATATATTTATGATCATTGACTCCTGTTGTTGCATTGATCCTTTTACCATTATGTAATGTCCTTCTTTGTCTCTTTTAGTCTTTGTTACTATTAAAGTCTATTTTGTCAAAGACGACTGTTACAACTCCTGTTTTTTTTTGTTGTTGTTTTTTTGCTCTCCATTTGATTGGTGAGTCTTCCTCCAACCTTTTGTTTTGAGCCTTTGTGTGTCCTTGCTTATGAGATGGATCTGGATACAGCGTGTCGAAGGGTTTTGACTTTTTATTCAATTTGCATGTCTGTGTCTTTGATTGGGGCATTTAATCCATTTAAATTTAGGATTAATACTGCTATTTGTGAGTTTAATATTGTCATTTAATGCTAGCTGGCTATTTTGCCCATTAGTTGATATAGATTCTTCATTATGAAGATACTCTTTACCTTTTGGTAAGTTTTTGGGATGACTGATACTGGTTGTTCCTTTCTGTATATAAAGCTTCTTTCAGAAGCTCTTGTAAAGCAGGCCTGGTGGTGATGAAATCTCTGAGTGCTTGCTTGTTTGTGAAAAATTTTATTCTTCCTTCATTTATAAAGCTTAGTTTGGCTGGATATGAGATTCTGGGTTGAAAATGCTTTTCTTTGAGCATATTGAATATTGACCCCCACTCTCTTCTAGTTTGTAGGGTTTCTGCTGAGAGATCTGCTTTGAGACTGATAGGCTTCCCTTTATGGGTAACCTGACCTTTCTCTCTAGCTGCCCTTAGAATTTTCTCCTTTATTTCAACCCTGGTGAATCTAACGATTACATATCTTGGGGTTGCTCTACTGCAGGAATATCTTTGTGGTGTTCTCTATATTACCTGGAGTTGAGTATTGTCCCGTCTTACTAGGTTAGGAAAGTTTTCCGGAATAATATCCTGAAGAATATTGTCCAGCTTGGATTCATTCTCTTATGACATTCAGGTACACCTATCAACGTAAATTAGGTCTTTTTACATAGTCCCATATTTTTTGGAGACTTTGCTCATTCCTTTTTACTTTTTCTTCTCTAATCTTGTCTTCTCGTTTCATTTCATTAAGTTGGTCTTCAACCTCTGATATCCTTTCTTCTGCTTGATCAATTCGAGTGTTAAAACCTGTGCATACTTCACGGACTTCTCATATTGTGTTCTTCAGTTCCATTAATTCACTTATATTCCTCTCTAAATTGTCTATTCTCGTTAGGATTTCATCAAACCTTTTTTTAAGGTTCTTAGTTTCTTTACATTGGGCTAGAACATGTTCTTTTAACTCACAGAAGTTTATTATTTTCCACCTTCTGAAGCCTAATTCTGTTATTGGAACGCACTCATTCTCCATCAGGCCTTGTTCCCTTGTTGATGAGGAACTGTGATCCCCTGTAGGGGGAGAGGCATTGTGATTTTGAGTATTTTCAGCCTTTTTACGCTGGTTTCTTCCCGTCATTGTAAATTTATCCACCTGTCGTCTTTGTAATTACCAACTTTCAAATTGGGTCTCTGAGTGGACGTCCAACTTGTTGATTCCCAGCACTGAAATCTGAGCAACCCACTGTGCCAGCTAAAACAGCGGTGGTAAGATTCTTGGTGCTTTTCTGCCCGGGAATCTCCTGCCTGGCTTCCCTCTTGAATCCCTTTTTCGATCAGCTGAATGGGTGACTCTGCCTTCCCAGAGCTCCAAACGTCGAACAAAAGGGGACCCAGTCCTGTTTGCTCTGTACCGAGAACCGCTGCACCAGGGCACTGGCAAAACCGCTGCGCTGGCCACAAGAGTCATGCTGGCAACCCCTGGGGCTCCTCCGCTGGGAATCTCCTGGTCTGTGAGCAACAAAACTTCGTCTGAAAGTGTGGCGTCCTCTCATTCTCTGCGCTTTCACTGGGAGCTACAATCCTGAGCTGTTAGTAATTGGCCATCTTGGATCTCTCTCTCAATATAAGTTTTCATTGTCCCTTTGTCTTGTTCTATGAAAATACTGAATGATCAAAAATTCAGTTTAAATCTTTATTATGAAAAACTTTAAATGTAAAGTAGTAGAAATAGGGCAGTAAATATTGTATCGTAATATCCAGTCAGGAGACAGAAACCATACCATCAACTTAAACAGGAATAACTTAATATAAAAAACTTTTAACTGATAATGATATTAGCTATTAAGAGGGATAAAAGCCAGCTATAATGTCCTAGGACGGAGAGTACCCAAGGAAAGAATACCCTTGGAAGGGGCTCCCATTCCCCATGGTGAAGTCAGGCCTAATGGAGAGAGTGTGGCTACAGCCTACTCAGTGATGGGAAAATTCCCTGCCTTGCCCTTGGCCAGAGCTGGTGTGTAGCTGGTGGATCAGGTCTTGCAAGCAAAGAACTTAGGACTGGTAAGCCAGAAGCCTCCTGCCAGGGTATGAGCAAAACTTAGACAAGAACTCTCAGTAGATGTTTGTATTTGTCAAGGTTCTCTAATGAAACTCCCTTAAAAGGATTGGCTTGTGTGATTATTATTAAGTCTGACAAGTCCAAAAGCTGGAGTGTGAGCCAGGAGGCTGGAGACCCAGGAAAGCTGATGGTGCTGGTTCAGCCCAAAGGTATCAAGATATCTGTTGGAGGATTCTCTTTTTCTTGGAAGAGGACAGTCTTTTTCGTTAGGCCTTTACCTGACTGGATCAAGCCTACTAACATTGAGCAGGGCAGTCTGCTTTACTCAAAGTTCACTGATCTAAATGCCAATCTCATGTAAAAACACCCTCATAGAAACACCCAGAATGTCTGACCTTATAACTGGAAAAAAAGTTAAATCTCTTTAAAAAAAAAAAAAAAAAAACAGGCACCATGTGGTCCAGCCAAGTTGACACATAAACTGTCACAGTATCCTCTTAAAAGCAAGAGGAGAAGAAAGAGAAGCCCCTTTATCCTGCAGTGCCCTTCTACCGCCACCTACTGACAAAGAACGTGGTGCTACCTGGCAAAGGAGAAATGTTCGGTGTGCTATGGCTTGAATATGTACCCTCAAATTCAAGTGTTGCCAATGTGATAGCATTGGCAAGAGGTGGGGCCTTTAAGAGGTCACTAGGCCATGAGGGATTCTCTCTCAGGACTAGGATTAAGGCCCTTAGAGACCTCAGGGAGCATCCTGCTAGCTTGCCTTCTGTATGTGAGAAGACAGCAAGAAAGCCCTAGTCAAACAAGTGCCAGCTCCTTGATCTTAGACTTCCCGTCCTCCAGAACTGTGGGAAATATATTTCTGTTCTTCATAAATTACCCAATCTCCTGTATTCTGTTATAGCAACACAAAATGAAGATAACCATACCTGAACATTTATCACAAGGTAGTATATGTACTGCTTTATTCTGGTCTCAGTATTCTGTGCTGAATAAGGAAATGGGAAAGGGTGGATCAGGATATGCACAAACAAGTTACTGCTACACCTCTCACAATGTCATTATGGATAAGATTGTGTTTTCCTCATTCTTGTCTGTTCGGGAGCTAACACCATGCTAGAGTAGGCACTAAATAGATCGCTAAAATTGTATCTAAAGTATCTGTCTAGAAATCTGGTATACCGTTCATAAAGAACCAAAATTCAACTTAATTTCAAAGAACTGAAGTGCCAGTTAATCAAAATTCATTAGCTTTTAATGGTACTACCATTCTCAAATTTAAAATGACACCTTAAGTTCCTCTTCCTTGCATTGGATTTATTGCTAAATCCTAGTAAATACTTTTAATCCTTTTCAATTCCATTACCACTGCTCTTATCCAGAATTACTTCTCAGACTAATAGTCACCTGACTTCTCCCCGCATCCTCTCTATTTGCTGTCTAATTATGGTTACAAATAAATAATTGCCAAACTAATCTTTCTAAAAAGCAAGACTCTGATCTCATCACTCCTTTGCACAACAATGTAAAAGCTCCCATTGCCTCCCAAATAAAACCAGCTCTTTACTGTGCATACATTACATCCATGATCTGTGTCCACCATCATTTTGTGTTAGCTCATTTTACACACCAGCTCCCTATGCCACATCAAATTAATTCATCCTGAAAAATGCAACTGCATTTACCCTTTCCCTTATTTTGTTCTTTATGCTGTAGGCCTTCTTTGTCCCCATTTCTTCAAAAGACATCCCCTACAGCCATGGTTCTCATCCAGAGGCCTTTTGCCCCCCCCTCCCCCAGGAGACATCTGGCAATGTTTAGAAACAGTTATTACAACTGGAAGAAGGAATAACAGAGATGCTGCTAAACACCCTATAAGACTTATCTGGCCCAAAATGCGCTGAGGTTAAGAAATCCTGTGCTACAGATTATTCCCTTATCCTGATAACATATAAGTAACTGCTTTTTCCTATGAAAATTTACGCAATTTTTTTTCTTGTTGCCCAGGCTGGAGTGCAGTGGTGCAATCTCAGCTCACTGCAACCTCTGCCACCTGGCTTCAAGTAATTCTCCTACCTCAGCCTCCCAAGAAGCTGGGATTACAGGCACCCGCCACCACACACAGCTAATTTTTTGTACTTTTAATAAAGATGGTGTTTCACAATGTTGGCTAGGCTGGTATCAAACTCCTGACCTCGGGTGATCCGCCTGCCTTGGCCTCCCAAAGTGCTGGGATTACAGGTGTGAGCCACCACGCCCGGCCAAAATTCCCACAAATTTAAATGTATTTGACTCATCCAGTGTTCTATGTAGTTTTATTTTATAGACCTTACCCTCACACACATGCCTCATGATTCGTATTCAGAAATTATTTACTGAACATCTATTATGCCTATTAGGTGGCAAGCTCACAGAGAATAAGCACAAGGGCAGGTATCATGTAACAGTTATTTCCATATATCCCACGATGTCTTGCATATGGTAGGTCTGCAATAAGAATTTTATGAAAGAATGAGGGCAGTTCTCTCTGCACTTTATATTCCACCTAAACACCCAAAAGCTAATTGATGCTGATTTGAAAAATGAGGTATACACATCTATTGGCATCTAGTAAAATTCAGAATGTCCCTCTGCCCTTTATTTTTTGGTCACCAGGTTGGAGTGCAGTGATGCAATCTCAGCTCACTGCAACCTCCGCCTCTGGGCTCACGCCATCCTCCCACTTTGGCCTCCCAAGTAGCTGGGACTACAGGTATACACCACCATGTCTGACTAATTTTTGCTTTATTTGTTTTCAGTACAGATGGGGTTTTCCATGTTGACTCCTGGGCTCAAACAATCCTCCTGCCTCTGCCTCCCAAAGTGTGAGGGTTACATGCATGAGCCACCACATCCCACCTGAGTGGCCCTAAGTTTCTCACTTACATGAGAATAAACAGGTGCCAGTGAACTGAACATGTTAACAGTTATGAATATTTTATCATAAAGCTCAAATATCATTTAAAGTCAATGATTCAGTAACCCAATAAACTACAAAAAGGTGACAAATTATTCCAGTATGCAACAAAACATGCTTGGTTCTTTCTATTACAGAAATTTTGATTTCTCCAATAATATGTCAGCCTTTTCCTGGAGAATAAAAAAACTGCTGAAAAACACATCTAAGCTGAGAATAAGATCCAAAGATTGTATTCCAAATGCTCAGCTAATTTAATGAGCTTGGCATGGTGGCTCACGCCTATAATCCCAGCACTTTGGGAGGCAGAGGCAGGCATCAGTTGAGGTCAGGAGTTTGAGACCAGCCTGGCCAACGAGGTGAAACCCGATCTCTACTAAAAATACAAAAATTAGCCAGGTGTGGTGGCACATGCCTATAATCCCAGCTACTTGGGAGGCTGAGGCAGGAGAATCCCTTGAACCTGGAAGGCAGGGGTTACAGTGAGCCGAGATTGGACCACTGCCCTCCAGCCTGGGCTATAGAGAGAGACTCCGTCTCAAAAAAAATAAAAATAATTAATGAGAACCTTTGCCTGCCATGAATTTTGTATTTCTGCCAGCATCTGAAAATAAAAGAGGTGAATACAGATCTCTAAGGTCAAATTGTGAAGTAATGTAAAATGTACTAAAAGCAACCAAGTTTCCAACAAATAGTGTTGTAGCTTAGCATAGCATAAAAGGAAAGGACAAGGACTTTTTGAATCCTGCAGACTGGCACTGGAATCTCTGCTTACTGGCTGTGTGGTTCTGGTAGCCACAGTGAGAATTAATTTACACTAAGAAGCACAATCATTATACACTGAAAATAATGCTAAATTATTGTGAGAATGAAAGGCTAACATTTACTTTTTTTTTTGCATTAAAAAGCTATTGTAGTTTTAATATTCTATCAACGAATAACTCCCTTGCCAAAATCCTTCCAAAAGCCAACCACTGCAATCAGAAGAAAGTCTAAACTCTACATGGAAAAACTACAAAGTCCCACAGGATCTGGTTTCTGCCTACTTCTCTAATCTCCTCTCTTTCTTGCTCACTAAGTTCTAATCAGGTATTCCCTCTGCTTATTTTTCCCTCTGCTTATTATGCAGCTCTGCATTGCCAGTTCAACACTCACATCTGGGTCCAAAGTCTCAGAAAGCATCCTGACGGTCCAAAATCCTTAACCTATACTCATTTGTCGCTGTAAACTCCCTGAAGGACAGGACTTTGTCTTTTCAACCCTGAATCTCCAGGACCTAGCTCCAGCCAGAGCCAGGCTAAGGAAAGGCAAGTGAAGCACAGGCCTCCGGTGCATTTACGAGATGGAAAAAAATTTCAGTAATCAAGACTGACACGATTTTAATGTAACATTTCTAAAAACAAAAAAGGCAGGGCAGGTGCGGTGTCTCACACCTGTAATCCCAGCACTTTGGGAGGTGAGGCAGGCGGATCACGAGGTCAGGAGATCCAGACCATCCTGGCCAACATGGTGAAAACTCCACTCTACTAAAAATACAAAAATTAGCAGGGCGTGGTGGCGCGCACCTGTAGTCCCGGCTACTCGGGAAGCTGAGGCAGGAGAATCGCTTGAACTCGGGAGGCGGAGGTTACAGTGAGCTGAGATCGCGCCACTGCACTTCAGCCTGGCTACAGAGCGAGACTCCGTCTCAAAAAAAAAAAAAAAAAAGGAAGAAAGAAATGCAAATAACCCATGATGAACTAATTATCAAAATTTTAGGTAGACCAGGGTCCACCCAGCACTTGTAAGATTAATTTTAATTCTGGCCGCGCCAGATAGGACTGTCACTAATGGTACTGAGCACTTACTACAGCCAAGAACTCACTCCGAGGCTGCAGAAAGGCAACAGAGGGAAACTGCAAATGAGGATTCGCCTTTTTGGAGCTCACATCTCGTTGCTTCACTGGGCTGAGTAGCCATAAAGCTGAGTTCAGGGAATGCACTGCCCTAAGTGCATGTTCACATTGTGAAAAGTTGAGCATCACTAATACTCCGGTACACTTTCATACTGACATCCATGCCAACCATCACTAAAAAAATTCCCTTGGCCAGGAGGCTCCAGCCTATCTATTCTTTTCTTGGGAGTAGGACTACAGTCTCTGGCGCTTGGCCCTTGACGGTTAAGGACAAAAACCCAGGAAAGCGTATGTGCACACTAGTAAATTTAACGTTCTTATAAAACACGGCGTCTGAGGCGTGGCTTAAAATACAAATAAATGCGCCTACAAGGAAGAATCGCCTCGCTCCCACCCTCGGCCTCCCATAGGGCCCTGGGAGGCGCAGCCGCAGATCTCCCGCCACAGCCGCGGTCAGCCCAACGCAGAGGGCCGCACACCTCCTCGCTGGTGCCCGCCCCTCACCCTCCCCCGGGAAAATCGCGGGGGACCCCAGCGCGCAGGCGCCGACCCGCCAACTCCGCAGCCACAGCCCGCCAAGGCGCCTGCGCAGAGGTGTGGGTCAGGGGGAGGGGCGAGTTAGGAGGGAGAGCCGAGTGCGCGCGTAAATCCTAGAGAGGCGGGCTAAGCCGGGCTTGGGGGAGGGTTCGTCTTCCGGAAAGTCTGGATTCCTGGACGAGCCGAATTGCCGCTCACCGAACTCCCGCTCGAGAGATGATCGAAGAAAATCAGCTACCATTTGTACCCATCGAAGATCTCCAAATGGAGGCCAGCGCTGAATTTGGGTTGAGATTAGGACTTGCAGGAGGCCAGTCCGGAAGACGGCAGAGGGAACCTTGGCGGGCGCACGCATGCGTGGTAGGCCCCCCTCACGTGTGGCCGGGCCGTGGCCTCCCCGCGCTCGGAGGTCCCGCCCCCGGCCTCAGCATCTTTCCGGACCAGGGGAACCGGTAAGCTGGAAGGGGGCTGGGCTTCGCGGTTCAGCCCCGCCTCGGCAGCCTCCAATTGGGCACGGATAAGGGCTCCCCCTTCAACCGCTCTCCTATTGGTCGGCGAGTGCGAGCGACGCGCCTCATTGGGCCGCGCCGATTTAGGCACCAAATTCAAAGATTTTAAAAGTACCAGCTGGCGCCTTTTAAGAGACAGCTCTGTGAAGCAGGCAGGTTGCTCAGCTGTCCCCGGCGTGGTTCCTCCACCTGAGGCGGACTTCACGTCGGCTGGCATGAGCCGGCGCCCCTGCAGCTGCGCCCCACGGCCACCCCGCTGCTCCTGCAACGCCAGCTCCAGCTCCGTGACAGCCGCCGGACGCCCTCGTCCCTCGGACAGTGAGTGAGAGGAGTGGGCGCGAGCGGAACTTGCCCGTCAGGAGGGGTGCACGGGGAGGGGCGCAACCTGCAACCCTAACCCGAAATCCCCCCGAGCCTGGACACGCGGCCACACCACAGGCCGGGCCTCAGGCGGCGGCGGTTCCTGAGTCCGGGAGGAGGGCTGGGGGTCAAGGGGAAGCCAGATGTGCAGGGGCGGGTTGGCGGGCCACGGGGGTCTCACCGCCCATGCTGACCTTGGACTCCAGCCTCCGGAGGTGTGGGTCGTGGCATCCCAAGGCGCCCTTTTTCCTCCTCGGAAGACCCACCTGCCCCACCCTGCATGATTAGGCGCCAAATGCCCCTCCCCTCCCCCACTCTATAGCCCCTGGCTGTGACAGGGCTGTGAGCTGGCAGCCCCCAGGGCCTGGCCAGGTGCCTCACCCTCGCCCCCTGCGCCCCTTTTCTATATTTCTGCCCTTCACCCTCACAGCCAAAGGCAGTTTCCCCGATTTTTCGCGGTCCCAGCCTTGCTGGCGGGCGCGGGAGATCGCCCTCGCGGTTATCTCCCGCCTCCGCGTGTCCCGCGCCCTGAGGGGCAGCCTCACCGACCCCTCAGGAGTTCCAGGGTCTCCCTGCCCACTCCCGCCAAATGGAGAGACCCCCCCACCCCATTGGACCAAACTCAATTGGGACATCCAAACAAAAACGTTACTTTTTCCCATTTTTTCCTCTTTGCCCATTAACCCAGCCTCAAGGCCTGGAGTGTAATGGGGAGAGTTTAAAAAAGCAATTTTTACTACAAACCTTGAATTTGGTTATAGTATTAAGATGATTTTGTGAGAATCGAAGAATTGGTGACTTTTCCCTGTAACTCGTGAAGAACTAGTACTTTATTGCAAATCTTGTGGAGAATGGAAGGCACTCATGCTTTTTATCCTCTTTGTTGCTACCTCTAAATAAAATCGATATGCAATTATTTTTACCTGAGAAACGACCCAAAATGAGAAAAAATTTAGCAAGTTAGCATTGTACTATTTTGTAATGGCTCTTTTATTTAAAAAGAACTCTAGAAGTCTCAAGAGAAAAAAACTTAATAGATTAAGTATATTTCTAGAAGATTCTGGATCTTCAGTCTGCAATCGAAATTCTGAAATTTGATGGCTTTATGAGGGGTTTTTTTGTTGTTTTTATTGATAACTCCAATTGTCTTTACTACCTTGCTCCTCAGAAAGAATTTACTGCCCATTGGAGTTTTTTCCCAGTTTACAGGTTTGAGGAGATGAAATTAAAAATACATATATGTTGCCTCCAAATAGTTTTGAAAGTAGATTTTTCTAAAGTTTTCTTTTAAAGATTACTTTATGGTCACAAGCATTGGGCCTCTTAAATTCTTAAGTAAAGGAATAGCCATGCCCAACATTGACCACATGGTGGTTATCTGTAGGTATTAGAGACTGGAGCCTATAATTTTAGTTAACAGAAGAGTTACAAAGATTTTTAAGTACTACAGCCTTAATTATATTATGATGTGTCAGGTCTATATTGAAAAGTTAAATGTAAGATCAAACTTCATAAAATTTACTTTTCTCTGTATGACTGGGCTGTGAGTTGGTAAGTGAAAAGTTAAACAATGTCATGTGTGAGTCTTATTAGTAGTATCTGCACTTGGGGGAAAAATAGGAGGAATAGGACATTCCAAGTTCACAAAGCCAGTCAAAAGGCTAAGCAAGGATTTTCATTCAAACTTGGATCTGATTCTTAAATCTATACATTCTAATGGAAAACTATGTGATATTCTAAAATATATACTTCTGTGTGAAATGTGCTTTTGCTACTTAAATGTTAATGATTTGCCGTGTAAGGAATATGAAAGGATTTGGCTTATGTGATTAAAAATAGATTGTATTGACTGCATTTAGTCCTGTATTATTGTCTTACTCCCATTTTATGGATGAGGAAACGGAGGTTTTAAGAGTTAACTTGATCAGTTTTCCCTAACTTAGTAAATAGCACTGTATACTTTAGATACTTAAGTCTTCAACCCAGGTTGTTTTTGTTTGTTTGTTTGTTTTGTGTGTGTACTCTCCTTCCTGTCTACATCTGGTAGATTTGCAGTAAGTTGACTTTACCCTCCTAAGTAACAGACCTTGAATCTATGCAGTTATTTTCATTTCTGCTACAATCCTTCTAGTCCGGGTTTCTCACACTCTGTAATTCTGTAATAAACACTTGTAACTATTCTTTCTGCTTCCACTTTTACCTTCCTGCAATCCATTCTCTACAACTGCCAATTATCTTTTTGAAATGTAAACCAAATTTCTCTCCTCCACTTATATGACCCAACCTACCCCACAAATCTACAGATCATTCTACAAACTCTTCGACTATAATTTTCAATAACCTCCCCCAGCTCAGCGCTACAGGTCTTTCTCTTCCTTTAACACTCACATTTTTCCTTGCTTCCTGTGTTTCCCACTATCTAGAACTCTCCCACCAGATTTCCATAAGGTTTTCAGATCTCAGAATGTCAGCTTTGCTAAAGATCATGCCTAATTGTTCTCCCCTACCCTGTCACTGAATGGATGTTGGATAGATAATTGAAATGGTTAAACTGAACTCTTAGCCCTCATCTGTTTAATTCATGAGGCTATGTAGCCATGTAATATTTTCTCTCTTTCTGGATAATAAGTCAATTATATGAATACTTCACATAGTTCCCAAATTTGGCCTGATCATTGGAAAACAGTTAAAAGGAATGGATGTAACCTTTTGCAAACAGTTGCTTCAGCTTCCTTTTTTATAAAACGTGATGCTATTCTTCTGTTTATTCTGCAGTATTGTTCTGGAAATGAAAAATACATTAGTTTCGCATTTTAAAATTAAATCTACAACCAACATCCAGATTTCACTTTCGTTTAATACCTTTCTCCAAAATAAGAGAACCAGAGTTCCTTGGAGAAATGACTGATTCTAGGGCTGGAACAGGGAAATTATAAGATGCACTTAGAGCATCTTGTAGTTCCAGAAAGTAAGGGATGTTCAAAACACAAAATGATGTGAAATGGACACCAACATCAATTGAAAGCCCACAATAGCAAAAGCTGGAACAATTTGAGCAATACTATAAATAGTATTGGATTATAACCAAAAGTCTATGAGTTTATACTGATACAAATGATTGGTAGTACGAATAAATAGGAGATAATGGCCAAATCTACTGTATAGAAGAATAACAAATGATTTATAAATTTACTCCCCACCCATTTAAGTGTGAGCTGTGCATAAGAGCTTCCTTTCAAAAAGTTTCAAATGGAAAAGGAGCAAAAAGGAGTAACTTTATAGTTGGAGAAACCTCAGAAATACTACCTCAACCAAGTAATCAAGGCTAACATCAGTAATCAAATCATAGCACCTTACCTCTGTGGTCTAAAAACCCACAGCCCAGACTAAAGCTGAGAAAAACTTCAGACAAATCCCAGTTGTGGAAAAGGCTAGAAAATGACCAATACTCCTCCAAATTGTCAAGGTAACCATAAGCAAGGAAATCTTTATGGTCAAGAGGAGCCTAAGGATATACAATGACTAATGTAGTGTGTCCTGGATAAGACCCTGGAACAGAAAAAAGACATTAGGTAGAAACTATGGCAATTCACATAGAATAGGGATTTTAGTTAATAATTCAACAATATTGGTTCATTTGTTGTGACATGCATGCATGCATGTTAGTAATATAAGTTGAGCAGTGGGTATGCAGGGACTCTGTGCTATCCTTGCAACTTTTCTGTAAATTCAAAGTCAGTTTATTAAAATTCTTTTTAAATACTAAATCTTTTTTTCCTTTTCTCTTTTTTTTAAGGCAGAGTTTCCCTCTGTCTTCCAGGCTGTAATGCAGTGGTACAATCACAACTCCCAGCAGCCTCAACCTCCCAGGCTCAAGCAGTTCTCTCACCTCGGCCTCCTAGTAGTTGGGACTACGCGCACATGCCACCACACCCAGCTAGTTTCTTTTTTTAAATTTTATGGAGATGGGGTCTCACTGTGTTGCCCAGGCAAGGTCTGAACTCTTGATCTCAAGCAATCCCCCAACCTGTGCCTCCAAAGTTTTGGGATTATAGGCATGAGCCATTGCACCTGACACTAAATCTAATTATTCATGTGAAAATACATGCTGTTGCAAGAGGAATGTGTAATAATTGTAATCATTTTATTCATTTTAACTCGTTAAGTGCTAATTTTGTAAATAAGAGTACAGATTCTAATGCTAGTATTAGCTTTAAAAAAAAATGGGAAACATTTTTATATTGTATGCCTTCATTGTGTCAGGCACTGCCATTTGCTTGGATTTTGTAGTAAGCAATAACAATCATGTCTGGCCTTTAAGAAACTTAAAGTAGTTTTAGAATTTTTAAGTTGGTAGTGCTTTGAACTAGGGTTTGATGAGGTCTGAGAGTTCCCTCAAAAAATGAAGCTATCCATGAGTAATGGATTAGAAGCTAAATAGACAAAGGAAGCAGAAAAGATATTCTAAGCAGAGAAACGCATAATATACAAAGCCCCTGGGATGAGAAAGTCATTGATTGTTACCAAGGACTAGAAGAGGGCCTGCTCACGTGAGAAATGAAATGTACATCTTTTTTTCCTTCGTACCTTAAGTGCTCTTATACCATGAATTCTGGATTTTCTATCATTTTTATAAACAGTGTAAATGTTATTTGTAAGGTCTATTTTTCCAGAGCACCTCATTATAATGAGGAAGAAAAGTCTGGCCCATTTAAATCAACTACCTGTATTAGGCAAACTAAGCTATACTTCAATGCGCTCAATTGTAAAAACAACGGTTCCCAATCCTACCTCAAAAGGTTTGTAAACATGGGAAATTACAAAGTTCTAAACAAGTATAAAGTATTTGAATCATTATTAGCTCTAATTTTAAAGAACTGTCTATATTCAAAGAATGGTGTTAAATGAAAGAGGTTCTGTAGGGCAACCTTTCAGTAACTGTGTTATAAAGACAGTAGAAAGAAGATTACTTTGAATTCCTGAAGTATTTTCAGGCCTTTTTGCTTTAGGCAGCTAAACAAAGCATAGTGTGCCTTCGTAGGTGGCTTCTGCTTTTTTATCCTCTCTTACAAATTGTGGTCATCAAACCTAATTTTTTAGTTGAGGCAAGAATAGAAGCAACCTCTTGGCATTTTATTTGTTTCCTTTGAAAGAAAGTAGACCACTCAGAATCATTTATTCTAGATTTAGGGTTAATTAGGGAGCTAGAATTTGTATATTCTTTATTTTTTTATGCAACTGAACTCTTAATTTTAGGTTTAGTGGGATCCTGGAGCATATACTATGTGTCTTTCACTGTGTTAACATTGGGAATTCAGAAGCAGTTTCTCTCTGCAAGTTATAGACAACAGCGAGATGTTATAGCCTTGCAGCTCCAAAAGCAGTCTGTTCTGACATGCCTTCTCAAGAGTAATATAATATATACTTATTATAAAGTTTAAGCAATATGTGCACATTATTGTCATATCAATAATTAAACTTGGATAATATGACAGCTGTGTATGCAGGTACATGTAGACAATACCTAATGCTGAGAGGTTGCAAAGTAACTTTGTATATCCCAATTTAAGAAGTAGGGATATGTGGAAATTTTGCCATTAAGATGTAAATGTTCTTTTTATAGGTTGTAAAGAAGAAGAAAGTTCTACCCTTTCTGTCAAAATGAAGTGTGATTTTAATTGTAACCATGTTCATTCTGGACTGAAACTGATAAAACCTGATGACATTGGAAGACTAGTTTCCTACACTTCTGGATATTTGGAAGGTTCCTGTAAAGACTGTATTAATAAAGACTATGAAAAACTGTCATGCATTGGGTCACCAGTTGTGAGCCCTAGGATTGTAGAACTTGAAACTGAAAGCAAGCCCTTACATAACAAGGAAAATCAACATGTACAACAAACACTTAATAATACAAATGAAATAGAAGCACTAGAGACCAGTAGACTTTATGAAGACAGTGGCTATTCCTCATTTTCTCAATTAAGTGGCCTCAATGAACATGAAGAAGGTAGCCTCCTGGAGGAAAATTTCAGTGATAGTCCACAATCCTGCCTGCTACAGATACAAAGCCCAGACCAATATCCCAACAAAAACTTGCTGCCAGTTCTTCATTTTGAAAAAGTGGTTTGTTCGACATTAAAAAAGAATGCAAAACGAAATCCTAAAGTAGATCGGGAGATGCTAAAGGAAATTATAGCCAAAGGGAATTTTAGACTGCAGAATATAATTGGCAGAAAAATGGGCCTAGAATGTGTAGATATTCTCAGTGAACTCTTTCTAAGAGGACTCAGACATCTCTTAGCAACTATTTTGGCACAACTCAGTGATATGGACTTAATCAAGTAAGTGCTGTTTTGAATATACATATTAGCATGATCCACTGAACATTGCTGTTAGTGGCTCGGTGCCACCACCTCATGCAAAGACTGTTGTACAGGTTGAGTGTCCCTTATCCGAAATGCTTGGGACCAGAAGGATTTCAGATATTTTTCAAATTTGGGAATATTTGTATTATACCCTACAAGGTTGAACAGTTGAACATCCCTAATCCGAAATCCAAAAATGCTCCAATGTACATTTCCTTTGAGCAACATGTCAGCATTCAAAAATTTTCAAGTTTTTGAATTATAGATGCTCAGCCTGTTGTAGGTAACCTTACAATGTTGTTTAATTGTGGTAATGACTTTTGCTGGTATTTTGCTACCTATGTGCCACTAAGATGAAAAAAATGTAGAATTAATGCATTTAATCTAGCCATTTGGAATTTTATATTCATGCTATTACAAATCTGTATTTCTGTTGGCTTAGGATCTTTGTTCCTTTTAGTTTTGAAATTTGTAATATGTAATTTACATCTTTGGGGCTTAACTGTAAAAAAGCCTAGATCCAGTCTACATGTCCAGTAGGCATTATGAGTTGTCACGCCAGAAAGTGTGAAGCAGTTTTTGTCCTTTCCAAGCCATTTTTGGTGGTAGGGCTCTCCTCCTAGGTTTGACAGTGATGAAAATAAGATCCACAAATAGGGAATTGTTATTTTTTTTTTAATTTTTTTTATTTTGAGACAGGATTTCACTCCCATCACCCAGGCTGTTGTGCAATGGTGCAATCTTGGTTTTACTGCAACCTCCACCTCCTGGGCTCTGTTTATGACTATTTCTTAGAAACCTTGCACTAACCACCACTTCTTTTTCAGTCTACCAAGGAAAATTACTTAGGATGAGATAACTTTGAGAATTAAGGTGATTATACAGAATTAGAGAGGGCTCAACTGGCTTTTGTTTTTTATTTGTTTGTTTGTTCTCTTAACATAGTGGGTTTTTAAAGTTGATTCCTAATAGCTGTGTGCCTAGAGTACTTTGAAATTTGTCTGTTATTTTTACCAGATAGCTAACATGGTATCCATATATACAGTGGTGGCTACTGTTTGATGTTTGCAGATATTGTGAAAAAATAGTGTACAAAGCAGTGGTTCTTAAGCCTCAATGCACTTAGAATTACTTGATGAGGAGGGAACTTTTTTAAAATACAGAGCCCTGAGCTCCATTTTAAATGAGTGTAAACCCCCAGGCAGTTGTAATGTGGTCAGGTTTGAGAAGCACTACTAATAGAATTATCTTTTGCACTGCTAATGTTTTTCTACTGTATTCATCTTAGCTCTTTGTGACACTTTGTTTCATTTATGGTGATTTACTTTTCCAGCGTGTCTAAAGTGAGCACAACTTGGAAGAAGATCCTAGAAGATGATAAGGGGGCATTCCAGTTGTACAGTAAAGCAATACAGAGAGTTACCGTAAGTCTTTGCAGATTATGTTTTTAGTTAAAAATGCACTGCTAATGCTCTTGTAGAAATAGAAAAGAAAACAGGTAATCTGGAAACCCTTCTTTACATTCATAAAATATTTCAGCCTTATACTAGAACTTTGAAACTAAATATCTAAAGTAACAAAGGGAAAATTAGTTCTCAGATGGAGTTGACCATATAGTCAACCTTAGTTGCCAATTATCTGTATGTGTATTTTATAACATTTAGAAAAGCTGTTTTACTTACACTTTTTAGGTATTAAGTACCATATAGACTATGCATGTAGAGTGATTTCTCACGGTTTTTGGTTCACAGTTTATGTCTATAAGTTAGGCTTGATATGTGTGATGTATAGGTGTTGCTTTGTTTTAGTATGTTAAGGTAAATTACATGTAGGGATAAGTCTTTTACATCCTTGTCATTTCTTACATGTATAAACAATAAAAATGTCTCATTGTCGAGGATATAGGAAATAATTTCTAAGTTCTATTACAATTCTTTTAAATAGGAAGACAATAAATTTTCACCGCATGCTTCAACCAGAGAATATGTTATGTTCAGAACCCCACTGGCTTCTGTTCAGAAATCAGCAGCCCAGACTTCTCTCAAAAAAGATGCTCAAGCCAAGGTATCCAGTCGAGGTGATCAGAAAAGTTCTACTTACAGTCGACACAATGAATTCTCTGAGGTAATTTTTTGTTTTATTGTAAATTTTAAAACATAAGGGATTTAGAGTAAGAAATGCATACTAATTTGTTCTCTGACATTAAGAAACCTGGTATTGATGATAATTTTAATTATAATTTGAACTATTAGGGAATTTATTAGTGTCCACTTTATTTCCCTCTCAATAATATGGAAAACAGTTGAAATTAGGAAAGTACACAGAAATGTCTTTCTGTGAACATTAGGTACTACTTGGCATTGTTTGCGAAAGTTCCGTCATTTTGAGTTAAAATTTAGAAACACTCAGGAAATAAGGAAAAACCTAGATTTCCTTATAAAATTACTCAGTACTACATTTTGTAGTTTCTGCCTTTAACAACCAGGAAGGAGAGCTAAGTGGAAAAATGCAAGCTTTCTGAACTTGAAGGCATCCTATTATACCTTCAGATCAGTGAGTGATGTGTGCTGAAAGTTCTACTCACATGTAAACAACTTCACAAGCTTAATTTAGATAACTTACCAAACTTACAGAATATTTTCTGACTCATGTTGATTGGTGAATATAAATCCCATATAATAAAACTAGTGTTAAATTTTATGCTATAATGACTAATACAACATACAGATTTATTCAAAAATAAATTTATTGAGCATCTGCTGTCAGGTACTGCATAGATAAAACTTAGAGCACGAGTTGTCATATGTATGGAATGATATTTCATACATGTATTGGAAGGCACAAGGGTGTCTGTCTTGGTTTTACTAACTAAAGTGCATGCAGTCCTTGCTGAAATTTGTTTATGGATTTTTTTTTCTTTTTAGGTTGCCAAGACTTTGAAAAAGAACGAAAGCCTCAAAGCTTGTATTCGCTGTAATTCACCTGCAAAATATGATTGCTATTTACAAAGGGCAACCTGCAAACGAGAAGGCTGTGGATTTGATTATTGTACAAGGTGTCTCTGTAATTATCATACTACTAAAGACTGTTCTGATGGCAAGTTCCTCAAAGCCAGTTGTAAAATAGGTCCCCTGCCTGGTACAAAGAAAAGCAAAAAGAATTTACGAAGATTGTGATTGAATTAGTTGTTACTGATCATGAATGTTAGTTAGAAAATGTTAGCTTTTAACTTAAAAAAAAAAAAAAATACTGTATTGTGATTTTCAATTTTATGTTGAAATCAATGTAGGATCCTGAGGTTTTTTCCCCCAGAGTATAAAGAGGATAGACAACCTCTTGAAATATTTTACAATTTAATGAGAAAAAGTCTAAAATTCTCAGTACAAATTGAACAATTTAAATATTTTAAGAAAAAAGGAAAAGTAGGTAGTTACATGATACTGAAGGTTTAAAAAAATTGATTCAATTTTATAGTAAAGGAAAGCTATGCAATTTTACCTAGACAATCTTAAATTTAAGTCTGGTTTTCCATCTGTTAGCATTTCTGACATTTTATATTCGACTTACCCAATTGATACCAACGGAAATATCAACTCCTGGCGTCTGTTAAATGTTTTGTCACCTTTCTAAAGCTTTTTTTCAGTGTGTGTATTTCCCAAGAAAGTATCCTTTGTCAAAACTTGCTTGTTTTCCTCATTTCTGAAATCTGTGTTTTAGTATTTTTGTATACATGTAAATATTTCTGTATTTTTATATGTCAAAGAAAATGTCTCGTATGTACATATAAAAATAAATTTTGCTCAATAAAATTCTTAAAGGCTTAATGTATACCTTTCATTTTATAAACATTATAGTCCTGCAAACAACTGAATTAAGCTGCAGTGGACTGCATTTGTGTGAAGGCATTGAATGGATCTTTGTTATGGTTTTTCTGAGGAGCTTGTGAGATTTTTAGGAAGTACTCTGATCCCAGTTTCTCCTCACTCAATAGCTTAATTCAGTAGTTGTGGGGTTGAGTCTTGAGATAAACATCTCGAGATGTTTCAATACAGTAAGACCATAAAAAACTGATAAATACTGGTGCTAATTTATCCATCACTAAACTGGCCGAACTATGGATTCAATAGCATCCCATCCCCCCAAGAAATCTAGAAAGATTAAAATTGTATAAAAGAAGATGCCATCTTGGCTGCAATCAAGCATTTGTACTAGTAACAGCTAGTAACAAGGATGTCTTTATTCCTTAATTTCAGAGTTATGTTTCAATTATGAATATGGGGAAATACTAAAAGGTTGAATTCAGACAAAGGGGCCTCTAAAAATTCAAAGGTGGACTTCAGATGCTATCAGTTGGGCCTCAGAGAAATTTAAGGGCTTTGCCTTTTATCTCAACAGAAACCTAAGGTAGAGGATGCCTCCTGTCAACTCCCAGGCCATCACTGATCTGTCACTGTGGCCCTTTCACGGATTTTCTATAAATGGAGTCAAAATTTGCTTTCACTGAAGGCTATTTTGAAATACCTTGTGTGTGTGCCTCAGTAGTTAATGCTCTTATGAAGCAGTATGCTGTTGGATATACCAGCTCATTAACCAGTTGATGATGGCTACTCCATTTTCTGCTGTTGTAAGGTGCTATAAACATTCATAGTAAGTCTTTGTAAATGGTTATATTTTCATATCAGGTATATAGGAGCAGAAAGATTAAATGGTATGCTGTATTTTTAGCTTTTTAAGAAATTTCCAAAGTAGCTGTGTCTGTATGTTCTCAAGTAGTATGTGGGGTTTCCATTTATTTCATGTTAACACTTGGTATTTTCAGTCTTTTTAATTTTAGTCATTAGAAGTGTAGTACTATCTTGTTTTAATTTTCATTTCTTTACTAATGATGTTTAGCTAATCTTTCATGTTACTTGCCTCCACATATTTTGGTGATGTATTAAAATTATTTGCTTTTGCAACCTTATGAGAACTTGAAAAAATGTTCTTTTCCATTTTTAATTGTGTTATTTTATTGTTGAGATTTGAGAGTATATATTCTGGATACAGGTGCTTTATCAGAGTATGCCTTGTCTTTCATTTTCTTAGCAGTGTCTTTGGAAGTTTTTTTTTTTTTTTATAAAATTCAAATTATCAATTTTCCTTTTATGGATCACACTTTTGGTGCTGTATCTAAGAAATGTACCTACCCTAAGAGCATAATAATTTTTGTCTTTTGGTTTTAGAAGCTTAGTTAACAATTTTACATTCAGGTCTGTGATCCATTTACAGTTAAACATTAAATATAGTGGAATATGTGGATTTAAGTGGATATCCACTTGTTCCAGCACCATTTGTTGACAAGACCTTCTTTACCAAACTACCTTTGCATCTTGGTTAAAATCAGTTTTGACTAAATATGAGGAACAATTTCAGGACTTTATTCTGTTTAATAATATCTTGTCTCCTGAACTTCAAAACGGCACTGCCTTGATATGTCTTGAAAACAGGTAATGATAGTTCTTTACCTTTTTTCTTTTCTTAAAAAAATTTTTTTTCCTCTTTTTTCTCAAGTTGTTTTGCCTATCGTTTTTTGGCATTTCTACATAGAATTTATAACCAGCTTACCAATTTCTATAAAAACATGATGGATTTTGATAGGGCTTACAATGAATCTATAGATCAATTTGTAGAGAACTGACATCTTAACAACCTTGAGTATTTCAATCCATTAACAGTTCTTCCACTGATTTCCATATTTCAAAATCTCTCTTAGCAAAGTTTTATCTTTCATTGTATGTCTTGTGCACATTACATCAGACTTAGACCTGTTTTTGTGCTATTGTAAATGGTATTTTAATTTCAATTTTCAATGGTTTATTGCGAATATATTGAAATACAATGTATTCTCATATTGGCCTTGTATTCTGCAACCTTGCAAAACTCAGTTATAACTGAAAGTCTATCACTTGTTCTCTGTAGGTGATTTTGTCTTCTACAAATAAAAACAGTTTTATTTCTTCCATTTCAATCTATATGGTTTGTATTTCTTTTCCTTGCCAATTTGTACTGGCTAAAACCTCCAGTAAAATAGAAATAAAAATGTTGATGAAGACACCCTTGCCTTGCTCCAGATGTTAGGGGAAAACATTTAGAATGATATTAGCTGTAGGCTTTTCAAATATCCTCTTATCAAGATGAAGTTCCATTTTATTCCTAGTTTGTTGAGAATTTTTTTCCAAAATGGCTGTTGGATTTTGTCAATTTTTTTTTCTCCATCAATTCATATGATCATATGGTTATTCTTTCTGGATTTGTTAATATGAATTACATTGATCAATTTTCAAATGTTAAAGCTATCTTGCATTCCTGGGGTTAATGCCACTTCACAATGTATTATCCTTTTTAAATATTGCTGTGTGTGTGTGTATGTATATATATATATATATAAAGAATTTGTATTTATATTCATGAAGACTATTGATCTATAGTTTTCATGCAATATCTTTGGGACATATTTTATTTTCAATTTTCTGGATGTTTATGTAGAATTGATATTATTTCTTCCCTTACTATTGCTGGAATTCTACAAGGGATCCATCTGAGTCTTGTTTCCTTTGTGAAAAGGTATTTGAAATGCAATTTTTTAATAGATGAAGGACTATTCAGATTATCTATTTCTTCTTCAGTGAGCTTTAGTAGTTTATATCTTTTGATGTGTTTTTAATCTAATTTATTGAATTTATTGGAATACAGTCATCACTGTATTCTAACACCTTTAATATTTGTAGAATGTGTACTAATGTCATCTATTGCATTCCAATATTGGTAAATTCTGTCTTTTCTCCCCTTATACTGATCAGTCTGACTACAGGTTATTTTTCCACATTCTTAAGGTAAATGTTGAGTTTGTTGATTTCAGACCCTTATTCTTTTCTAATAGAGATATTTAGTGTTGAAAATTTTCACCAAATTCTATTCTAACAGTGTACCATTAAATCTGATATTTTGTCCTTTCTTTCTTATTCATTTATAAGTGTTTTATAATTTTCCTTTTGATTTCTTCTTTGACGTGTAGGCTATCTATAAGTCTGTTATTTACTTTTCCAATATTTTGGAATTTTTCATGTATATTAATTTCTAATTTCATGGTGGTCAGAGAAAACAGCTGTATGACTCAATTCTTACCAATTTAATGAGTATTTTTATGGCCTATCATATGATCTATCAAGGGAATATGGTGTATTTTGCTGTTCTTTGTTACAATGACCTATAAATATTAACTGGGTCAAATTTGTTGATAGTGCTCTCCTATCTTCTATATCCTTACTGATGTCTATTTATTGGTGCTATTATTGAGGGAGAAGTATTCAAATTCCTAACTGTAATTGTGGATTTGTCTATGTATTCTTGTAATTCTATCAGTTTTTGCTTTTAAGTACAGATGTTCCTCAACAGTATGGCTGGATAAACTAAACCCATTGTTTGAACTTACAGTGTGTTTACCTGTGCACAACTTCGTAAGTCAAAAATCATACTGACTATCCCTTTTGCACATTGAAAAGTTGAAAATGTGTAAGTCAGGGCTGTTTGTATTTTGAAGCTCTGTCATTAGTCGCATAAATATTTAGGATTATTATGTTCTCTTAGTAAAATGACCGCTATCATTTTTAAATGGCCTTTTTATCCCTGGATGTGGCTTTTCTATGGAATCTACATTGTTTTGTATTAAAATAAGCACTCTAGTTGTCGTTGTTTTTTTTGAAATTAATATTGGCATAATGTATTTTTCCACCCATTTGCCTTTTTTTTTTTTTTTTTTTTTT